AAATTATTAACTTTTTAATAATTCACAATATTAACTTTAAAATCAGAAGAGTTTTTATTTATTTTATGAGTGGATTTAAAAATTAAAACCAGAAAAGAAAATGAAAACAATTAATTTTTTGCCTTGTTACTTTAAAAATTATTTTGCTTTATTTTTACTTTATTTTTTATCAGATATTGTTGCGTTTTTTTTCGAAAAATATAACAAAATTTCCACCCCAGTTAAGATTTCCCAAGGTTTTGCATGATTTTCAAAATTATTCCCCAGATCCCAAGGGGGGTCGTGAATTCCCAAGATCTTGGGAAATTTCCCAAGGTGTGGTAGCCCTGTGGATGACTAGAACTAGAATAGAAAAATTAAAAAGTGATACCGAAATTATTTTTTTATTTTAAATATTTCAGCCCTTTTTTTTTTTTTACTTTCAATATTAATAGATTCACATTCGACGGGTTGCTCTCTAAGTTGAGTAAGCAAAAAAAAAAAAAATTAAGTAATGACCAAGTAACAATAATTAATAACATTAACATCCAGTAAATTCATTTCTTAATAGTTTTTAAAAATAATGCGTTTTAGTTTTAATATTATTCGAATTCCAGGTATTTTCCTGTCAAAACTTATTTTTGAAAACGATGAGATCATGGTAATTTCCCGACTCGCTCAGGGTTCTTCTATATATGACTCATGAATCGAAATGTATAAATGAAAATTGGATACAAAGAATGCCAGTTTAAATTAAGGAAAGGGTTAATAAATAATGGAATGCGATAGAATGACTATGGGGTTCTGTCTTTATTATTACGATAATTCATCATCATGTCCCTTAGTCCTTGAACCGTTGGGACGCCACAGATGACATGAAAACTATCCCCCTCCGTTCCTCTCTGTTTTCTGCACTTTGCACAGCATCGCCTAACTTTAGTCCCGTCCACGCTTTGATGTCATCAAGCCCGTGTTTTTTTTGTCACGTGGCCATACCATTCCAGTTTGCGCTTTTTTATAGTCACCAGGAGGTCATCGTACTGCCCCATTGCTTGGCGAATTTTTTCTTTGACTTGTTCGTTAGAGATTATGGTCTCTATAGCAGATTCCAAGAATGCCTCTAAAAATCTCATCTCTATCGCCTTTTTTTTTCTCAAGTTCAGCTGTATATGTTCAGGACTCACAGGCATACAAGAAAATGGAGAGGACCAATGAGCACATCAGCCTGATTTGGGGGTAGGGGAGGGGGGCTATATTTTTATCATTCCATATTTTCTTAAGAATCTTTAGTGCTGCTGGGGTCCGGGCAATCCTGGACATCAATTCGGGCTTGGTGCCTTCTTTCGAGACTATTGTTCCTAGGTACTTAAAACTGCCTACTGTCTTTAATCCCCCTCCCCGGGCCTTAATGTCAGTGGAGATGCTGGTGGTGTTATTCGTCCGTCATCAATTTTGTCTTTCCTGCACTGCCTGGTGCTGGGCTCACCGCACTGTACATAAAAATATTAGCAACAGAGACATAATCGTGACATTAAAATAAAATACATTTATCTAAAAGAAACACTGGCCACAAGTTAGTTAGGTGACATGGCTTAAATTAATGATTGGATAGAAATTCAAATATGTGAAAATTATTTTAAAATTTGGTAATGTAAAATAAATATATTATCTCTAAACAGAGGCGCAGTGATGGGAGGGCAGGGGGGGGGGTAAGAGATCAATGTTTGTACCAGAGGCGTAGCAAGGGTGTTTTGCGCCCGGGGACAAGATCCATTTCAAAGCACCCTTTTTTCTTTTTTTTCACGGGTGCAACTGCAACGCGCTAAAACATACGTAAACAATCTTTTCTCTTTCTGTGCCCTAAATAATGGAATTCTCTGCCACTACACATCCGCAGACAGATGATGAGTGCAACATTGTGGCTAGAGTTGACAATTGCTATTGATAATGCACTCATCAAGCTACAGGGAATAAGACCAACAAGGATATTAAAAATTTGTTACAGAAGCTTACCCAGACAGTCACCCCCCAGTTGATAGACCAGGCATTTCCCTGACAATTTAATTAAAATTTATGCTAAATTGCTTTCTATTTTTTACAATACTCTGCATTGATATTTTTTTTATTAGTCTTTTAATTAATAGTAAACACATCTGACATCATATTCCTTTGATTTTATTACAATTATGTGATAAAATGCATTTTCTAATCACATTTTTTAAACCTTCATTTAAAAAAAAAAACGCTAAGTGGGTACTTTTAGACTTATTTTAGTGCCTTCAAGTTTAAGTGTTTATTGATGATGTTAAGGCATACTGCATGTTGTTCTGCTTAAAATTATCTTTAATTTGATGTATGCCCTATTTATGTAAGTGTAAGTCAATAACAAAAATTTTAATAAATTTTTGAAAATGTGTATTTTTAATTTTTACACTTTTTCTGTTGGAAAATAAAAGCGACTAAAAATCTTTATTTTTTAGTTTTTAATAAGTTAAGAATTAATAGAGATGGCTGCTTGAAAAAAACTGGGCTTAAATATTGTAAACTTTGGAGCACATACACTCATACACCAATTCCTGGACTTCTCTGTTGATTATTTTAGAAAATATAGGTCCTTAAACATGGCACCTTTTCACAAGGTAAAAAAATCCATTTTCCGTCAATTTTCAGCAAATTTGAAAATTGCATAACTTTTTTGTTTATTGAGATATCTACATGAAATATAAGTGGCCTATATCTTAGAATAAAAAGTTCTGTCAGGTGAAACTCACCACATGTCTGCTACTGCTATGTATAGAAAATTTTAGTTTGGACTACCTAGTATCACTGTATGCAGTCAGTTAAAAGGAAAATTTTTATGACCAGATGTGGACAAATATGACTTGTGTGAGCAGGTACATATGGTAAAATGTGTCTTCTTTATTTAGGTTATCTTTCCTGAGTGAAGTCCTTTGTGTCAAGTCAAAGGATATCTTGGACTTTTTTGGAGCTGTACAATTGGACAAATGTCCTTTTTTAAAAGGGTACTTTCATGAGTGAAGTCTTTTGTGCCAAGTCAAAAGATATCTTTGAGAAGATAGGCAAATTTTCACGTGTACGGTTGATCTCTTGTTAAAAGTTGTACTTTTAACATTTCTCATCTTTTAAATGCAGGATACCGGTATGTCACTTTGTAGGGTTTAACTTTAACTCATGTATGTTAGTGTTTCTTCCTGTCACTAGAGAACAGAAATGTCAACAGAGACATAAGAACAAATACAATAGCTCAGTTTAAGGCTCCTCCCCTCTTTGACTTGTTTTATTTATGCTTTTTTAAACTTGAAGTATCAGTAAATTCAAAAGGAGGAATATCACATTTGAAAGGCCACTCGCCTGTGTGGCATCTTTTGTGACTAGTTAAAGTTAAATAAGATAGAGTTAGAGCAAATGTCACATTTGAAAGGTTTCTCTCCTGTGTGAAATGTTAAATGGCATTTTTTTTTTTATTACTCACCACTTCTACTTTCTAGGGGCATCAAGTTGACCATATTATTAATGAATACCGGTATTAAATTTAAATATTTTTTGGCATTTTTAAGAAATTATGGTAATTTAAAATTGTATTGTTTCCCAAGTTCCCCCTTTTTTTTTGGTGTTAAATTTTAATTCAAAGATGAATTTTTTTACTTATGTTCATTACTGGCAACTACTGATTTATCTGATGAACGTTCAAGAAATTCCAAATTAAGTATAGAACAAGCATGATTCTGATAGTAGAATGTGTTGCCCATCAGCCCCCGAAGATTTTGCTAGCCATCCACAATCAAAATTAATATAAATAACGATACCTGGTACAAATTATAATGGATTTCTTTTAATTGGAAAAAAAAGTAATTTAAGTTTGTGATTTTTATAACGTAAACAGGTCTTAAAACTTGGAACTTGAATGGCGTAACAGACTTAAAAAAAGCACCAAGTACTGGTACATGATGAAGGACTAGCACTCTTTGACATCCTTAAAAAAGCACCAAGTACTGGTACATGATGAAGGACTAGCACTCTTTGAAATCCTTTCAAACCAGGACATCCTTTCAAACTAGAATACTGCCAAATGTTGGAACATTGGAACCAGACTGATTCAAAAGAAAACTATTTCTTGTTGCAAAGTTTTCTCGCATAGCATTATTTACACAAGACTTTTCTAATATTCCTTTTAGTCTTTAGCAAACCATAGATATAATTCAAATGTCTTAAAACAAAGCAACACTGTTGCCAGATCAGGCCAAGCATGTTTAGCACAAAATGGCACATTAATAATTAAACAATTGATACTAGCTGCTCAATTTTAATCTGGCTTCACAAGTTGTAAAGAGATTTAGAAAACTTTAACAGAACATTTCTAGTAAACACTATACGCAACAAAATAAATAAATTTAGCCAAATAAATTTATTAGAAAGAGAAAATTAATTTATTCAGCATCCTCTTTATCTCCCTTTGTTGCTCTTGTGTAGATCATTTGAGATGCGTGTTTGGATATAAGGCGAATCAAACCTAAAACAGAAACAAATGGAAATTATAAATGAACTACAAAAATGTAGATTCTGCTGAAACCCCTGGCAAGAATAAATTTTGATCTTATTGAAATGCAATTGTTTCCCTTAACTCATTCCCCGACGGTTGCGTCCTTTGGGGGTTTCAACGGATGGTTCCTGGCACACACCTCCAGTTAACTCATTCCCGACGTTTGGGACTAAATGCGTCTGTTACGGGTTTCGCCGGATGCGTCCAAATGTAGCTTGTGTTCATCAGAGGTGCAGAAAATCTATTTTTTGGTCATTGTTCGTTATTTTGTCCCCGCTAATCTTAGATTTATATTAAACATTCATTTTTTGTTGCATTTGTTCTTAATTCATTAACATTAAATAATATTTAGTAGCTTAAATACATATTAAAAAAATGTAAACAATTTCAAAACGGGGTTACTTCCCTTTCTCAGGCAAATAAATTAACTCATTCCCGACGGTTGCGACTAAATGCGTCCTCGGGGGGTTCCTACTGATGCGTCCAAATGCGTCCCGGCGCATAGCGACACACCTCTCTTATTTTTAGTTAAAAATAGCAATGAAATCTCGCACCCCTCGAGACTTCCGGCTATGGCGTGATTTCTGCGTGATTTTAATTTAGAAACCGGAAGTTTTTATCTTGTTTCACTTTAAAACTACGTGTGCTTTAGTACGGCGCGTCTATATGTACCATGTGTTCGTCCGAGGTGCCGAAAATCGATTTTTTTGGCCATTGTTCGTTATTTTTCCCCCGCTAATGTTATATTTATATTAAACCTTATTCATTTTTTGTTGCATTTGTTCTTAATTCATTAACATTAAATAATATTTAGCAACTTAAAAAAATATTTTAAAAAACTAATGTTATATTTATATTAAACCTTATTCATTTTTTGTTGCATTTGTTCTTAATTCATTAACATTAAATAATATTTAGCAACTTAAAAAAATATTTTAAAAATATAAATCAATTTCAAAACTGAGTAGCTTCCCTTTTCTCAGGAAAATAAATTAAGTCCGGAAGCAGCGCTGCCGGAGGGAATGAGTTAAATACGGAAGTAGCATTGCAGGAGGGAATGAGTTAAAATAGCAATGAATTCTCACGATCCTGGAGACTTCCGGCTATGGCATGATTCTAAGTGATTTTAATTTAAAAACCGGAAGTTTTTTAAAATCTTGTTGCACTTTAAAACAGTGCGCTTTAGTATTTTTAAAATGTACTGGTAAATCAATTTCAAAACTGAGCTGCTTCCCTTTTCTCAGTAAATAAATTAAGTAAGAAAGTTTCACTGACGGAGGGAATGAGTTAAAATGTTGTATTAGTTTGATATAACCTCAAACATATTCAGAACTGACAATTACAGCAATTGGGCAAACTCTAAAATTTTAGACAGGACGCCCTGAAGTAGCTGACGAAAATCTAAGTTGCTAATAGGTAATAGCACCAAGATCTGCCATTTAACAAACTGCTGGTGGTGCCAGAAAATGTTACACCACCGGTAGTAATTATAATGTAAAACATGGAGTTAATAATGTTGTGTTCAATTTGCACCCAGTATACCTTAAATGATATAGTTGGAATACCTGGTACCGTAACTAATATGATGGAGCGCTGAAAGTGACTTACAGCATAACAAAATGACCAATTCAGATATAAGGCCTCGCCATTTTAAGAGGATGAAGATATGCATACTAGTATGTCACATTATTTTCACTGCAATTTGATTTTCAAAATATCTATTTTTCCTGAGATTAATGTTACCTTTAGAATGCAATTCCCTCAAAGCTTGCTTTGCTAATGATCCTCTAACTTTCAATCTCTCAGAAACTACTGAAGGGGTAATAAGTTTGTAGCTGGGAACCTCTTTGTACAATTTGTCATAAGTGGCCTTGTCAAAGAGGATCAAATTGTTCAATTTATCTCTTACTTTTCCTTTGGACCACTTCTGCAAAAGAGAAATTTTGAGTTAACAGAAACCTTACACTGCACACAACATAGGAAGGTAAAAACTTACAAAGTCCAAAGAATTTTAATTGCCTTCACCATGTCAAACATTGATACCGGTAACTAATATTTAAGACTGTACTTTTCTTTTTTTTTAAAGAGGCACAATTCAGCACATCAATAGAATACTGTTAAGCATATGAAAGCTAGCATTGGCGGTAGGGTCAGGCAACTTCTTCCACAGTAAATTGGTCATGAAGGTTCCCCAAGCCCAGGTCAACTATCAACAATAGTTTTGTTTTAAAAAGATTAGAACAGTATTTATATAATTTGCTTTCTCAAATTTGTATTTGTTGAAGGGAGGGGAGGGGGGTTGTGTGTAGGTGTTTGTGTTTTTGGAAATTTCTATTTTCAAAAAATCGAAGACAGGCACTAATAGAAACGTGTGTGTCATTATGTCTGCAGTTACTTAGGTATGGTGCTCTGTGACGACATGAAACTAATAAACATTGTTCTGGTCTGGTTCAACTAGTTGTCTAGCCAACTTATGCACCACGTCACCAAGTGTTGCCCAGTGCAGGAAAACTCTTGGCAAAACCCTTAGTGCTTTTACCAATCATAACCACATTTGAATGAAGAAAATGCATGGGGGAAAAACTAAGTGTTAGGTCTGAAGTAAATCAAATCATAACAAACTGCAGTCAAGTGCTATATGCCTGAACAAATAATGAATCAGGAGCGAGATTGTTATTGAAATTAATAGATAAAATCTACACATATCTTCAGTCAAAACAAATAAATGCAGAGGACAAATGACAAATTGTCACAAATATGACACTTTGGTCAGTTCATACTTAAAATAGGGCCTACATAAATAACAAATTCATACAAATCTCCATTAAACAACATTTAACAATTAAGTTCAACTTCTTAATGGTAGAAAGAATTACCTACCTTCTTTTTAGCTTTACCACCTGAACCCTCCTTTTTGGGCTTACCAACTGTGGTTTTGCCAGCTTTGGCAGCACTTTTAGCTTCCGCCTTCTTAGCAGGCTAACAAAAATAAAAATATACCTATATTATTATCATCTGCACTAATTTTAAAAGCAAGACCTAGACCAATGGACCCCATTTCTGTGACTTAAGGGGGGACCGGTAGTCAACTTTTCGTAAAAATCATGTTTTTTTTGTTTTTTTCAATTTTCCAAAAAGTGTATATTTGGTTACAATAACCACTTATAAACACAATCCACAAATAAAATTTGCTAAAAATAATTGTTATAAGTACATAATTTGTCCTAATATAACACGTATCTAGGCAACCATTTCAGGAAAATCGGCTTTCCGACGCGTTATGGTCATTTTAAAACCCTTTACAACCGCATTCCTTCAAGCCTAATGCCTATTGTTAGGCCTCTTTGGAAAGCTTAGACCACTGGCTACAACTGTGACCTACTTATCTCAAAATCATTCTACCTAACAAAGAGAAGCGAGCTGTGCAATACGTCACATTTGTTGTAAAAGTGTGTTTAGACGGCTTCTACGTCATCGTGTAGTAAAGCCTGTAATTTCATTGGTCGACTATTAGTAATGTTACCAAAAATAGCACAAATTGGGTTACCGTATACCGAAATGCAACACGGTTACTTTCGTTTCGCAACCATTCTGTGTTGATAAAACTATCCACCGTTTGTCAGACTTACATTGGATTTATCAAAGGCTGCTCTTTTCGTGCTCACTATATTTGTTCAATAACAAGCCAAAGGTAAATATGGATGTAGTATGATTTACCATTTCATTATTAAAAATTGTTTTAGTAATAGTACTAGTATCAGTATCGTCAACGTCATGCTTTCTCACGTCAGTAGTGACAACCTACCCATACAAATTATTATAAATACAAGGATCATTTCAGTTCTGAAACTAACTAAATTATCAATTATATATATATATACTTGTTTCAAAGTTTTAATATTTAATAACTATCATTAACCAGATATATTTTATTATGTGCTTATTTACTTGTCAAGAATTGAGTGTAAACTAAAAAAAAAAAAAAAAAATTTGTTTGAGGTTAGTTATTTGAAAGGTGTGTGGGTGTTGTTGGGTTTGATTGAATTCTCTCATCATCAACAATTTAAAAGATAAGGAATTAACCACTTCATTTGTAATCCTTTCTTTACCTTGATGACTAAAATTAAATTGTTCTGATTTATTTGCAGTGAAATGGCACCAAGAAAACAAGCAGCGATTCTGCGAGCCAAAAGTACAGCTTGCTTCGAACAGGTACTACTCTTGGAAACATGGTGGCAGTAGAATCTAAGAGTGCCATGACACCTGATGCCAGGTGGGTGTAAGTGTAAGACTGGAAGTATTGTAAGGTTTATATCATAATGATATATAATTGTTTTTTTATATTGTCATCTCTACAGGCCCCACGAACAGCTGCTCAATATATTATCTATCTGCATTTATAAAAAAAAATGTAATGCTGTTACTATATTTATTGTTGATGGAGCAAAGTGTAATTATATATACATTTTTAACAGATAAAATGAATCTTCAGCAGTGGCTCTGTGAGAATGCAGTGGCCATCGAAAGTTACAGATGAAAAGACCTTCGGAGGAATATTCTGACATTTTCCGCATGCTTGCAGCTGCCTGGCCTGATGAGAACCCTAAACACCATGACTGCCCTACTGGAAAGACATGTTACTGTTGGCAGTCAGCTATTGCTCAGAAGAGGTTCCACAACACATAAGAGGAAAAGAGGCAGTTTTATCTCAGAGCAGATTTATTTAAATTTTTCGCATTTTTTTTCTTTGGGGGGTGGGCTAGAGAATCAGTTATATTTTTTCCACAGAAAGACTTTTTAAATATATTTTTGATGTATCATATTTTCAAGAAGCCAAGGTGATATAATAATATAACTTTATGCCACTTTAATTATTTGAAAAATAAATTATTTCAATAATAAAACTTCTTTTTGCATTTTCTCATTTGTGTCAATTTTACGAGGGTCAGGTTATTGGAAGCAGTGTATCTCAGAAACAACCTATCAGATTATAAAGAAATTTGCACCACATGTTCCTAACATGTTTATCTACAATGTGATAGAGGGTTTTTATTCTATTTTAAGAGACAAAAAAATTATTTTGAATTTTGATAGGACAGTTTACGTAAATGATGGATTATTTTTTGACATAATTTTAAAAAATTCACAAAAAAATTATTTTTTCAGTTATGCTAATTTCCTTCTATCACATTGTGCAATGTCCTATTATTAATATTTATGCCAAGTTTCATTGAATTCTTATTGGTGGTTATTGAGCTACGCTGTTTCCTGTAAGTATATAAAATTGCTCAATTTTACCCCTATTTTCTCATCAAAAGCATAAAAAAAAATAATTAATTAGTCCCAATTGGTTTTTTTAAGTGTTTTTATTGCTTTTGCAATGTGATTAGCAAAAAATATTCTGTCTTAGTCAAGTGTTTAAAATTTTAGCATTTTGACTACCTGTCCCCCCTTAACAGTAACAGAAGTAAAATCAGCAATACTAATTACTGATTGAGGAGGCTGGAGATGAATTAAGACTTAAGTTAAAGACCTGTCCCCGATAATAAAATAGATTCTTTACAATTACTGGAATACCAAATTATTTCCAATTCATTCAAGGGATTTGAAAATGAATTGATCTTTTAAATATCACCCTGTCTTAATTTTAACAACCCCTCCTTCGACTTTCTGGCTCACGTTGAGAAAAACCATGTGATTAATTATGAAATAAATATTACGACTAAGAAAATACAAATCATCTAATTCTAATACAAGAATGTGTGTTATAATTAATTTTTTAAAAAAAAATTGCTTATTTAAAATATGGTACAGGATTTGTAATAAGTTGAAATAATTAGAGAGCAACGTGCTCGTCCAACCTACCATGTTGGAGGCCTTAATCTAGAAAGGCGGATGTAGACGGCGTTATCGTCAACTCCCAGTATATAGCCTTAAAAACCTTAAAAATGTAAAAATTAATCAATTAATACCTTTAAAAAAATAATTTTTGATGTAAAATGTTTTCCCTTATTAAGAAATAAATAAATAATATTTTATTCAATTAAATGAAAAAAAGTTAAAAATTAAAAAAAAAAATGTGTGCTATAAGCGATGAAAGTTGTGTTCAATTTTTAAGAAAGTAAGTGACTCCTCTACTTTATAATTAAAATAAGATAACAGGCTATGTACACGAAATAGTGCTGTAGTTCAATTTTTAAGTCTTCTAAAAAAATTCTGGTTAGGTTAAAAGTTTATTCCACAATTGGCAACACGTTATATTAAAATGTGTCACTGTTCCCACCTTTTTTTTTTTTGTCTTGTCCAAAAAAGATAGATACTAACGTATTGTTATTTTAAGGGTAATCGATAATGACGTATTGGGGGGGGGGGTTTCGGGGTTCGGCGGGAATGATTTTATATCGGGTTTTATTATGTTGTCTAAATTTGAAACTATTGAAACAAAGTATGGGAAACCGAAACAAAACAACAAATTTTTTTTTTGTCTTGTCCAAAAAAGATAGATACTAACGTATTGTTATTTTAAGGGTAATCGATAATGACGTATTGGGGGGGGGGTTTCGGGGTTCGGCGGGAATGATTTTATATCGGGTTTTATTATGATGTCTAAATTTGAAACTATCGAAACAAAGTATGGGAAACCGCAACAAAACAACAACGTGACGGCACTAGCCTTCATTAGCGAACAAACAACAGTAAAAACACAATACAAAAAAATTATTTGGTTTAAAATGACCCTTAGCTGAAATGTAGTATTCAAGAGGCCAAGAGGACAGTAAGAGGAATGTGGTAGATGTAGGTGAGAGATTAAATTTAAATATTGGCAAAAAGGGAGAAAAAAGAGAAGAAAAGTAAGTCCACTGTAATTGGTAGTAACAAGGAGGGGCGGAGAAAAGGATAGGTTTAACAGATGAATGCGTGGTGGAGTCCATTGTGTCAAGGTTCCATAAGTCTGAATTAGCTTGTTTTCCAAATTCACCATGTTTGGTGTGTTAGTTCAGGTCGCGACAGCACTTATAGTAAAATATGCAGAAACCTTGTGGTTGCTTCTATTGAAGTTTTTAGAGATGGGAAATGTGTTATAAACTGATTGCAGTCTCCCCCCCCCCTTGTTACTCATTTGTCTAAATTATATGACAAATTTGAGACGATGGGGGAGGGATGGGGTCCAAATTGGCCTAAATAATGTGACGTCATTTATGGCCTCCTGATTAAATAGACAAACTTTTGATCACAAGTTATTTAAGTTTGAAGCTTGGATTTGCTTCTCATTATTAGATTCGGAAATATCAACAGGCGTCGTTATTTTCGCGTGTTCTTTCGTTGTGCCTGTTAATATTATGGCCTTTTTATTAGCATTACAGGTGGTTGAGAGGGAATAATTAATGTTTTTAATTATACAAAAAATGTTTAAAATAAAGACATTTGTAACCGTTCGAACTCAGTGGTGTAGCCAGGGTTACAGTCACCAGGGGTTTGTAACCGTTCAAACTCAGTGGTGTATCCAGGGTTACAGTCACCAGGGGTTAGTGAAGCTTGTCGCCACTGCCTTCCAAGAAGCAACTGGCATGCACCGTTTAAATGATTCCACCCCGCCATCTCCACGACCCGCTACACTTGAAAGGGCGATTCAAGTGGACGTAGACCAAACAGAATTTTCAAAAGTTTCTGGGGAATCCGTCGAAAAAACCGCCGCTCGGGTGAGTTCTACGTCAAAAAAGCTCTGGTATATTCAAAATATAATATTCAGGGTCATTTTGAAGTGTTTCTAATAATGTGTAGGGCTTACCATTTCCAGGAATTGTGCTTATCTCGGGAAAACGGGCAAAAATTCACTCTCATCACGGAATCCCGACATTCATTCCAATGACCACAATGAGCGCCAGCTTTGGGGGGCGCCAAAATTACAATTAGCCTATCCTTAAATTTACATGTTTTCAGCATTTGCCATTATTATACACTAAGGAAACCTGGTAGGGGTGCCATTTTCAGGATTCTGGTTCTAGTAGTGTTCGTTGCTGCATCCATATACTGGATTATGTGCAACAGTTGGGGGGGGGGCGATCTTTCCATCCTAACAGCCCCTAGCAGATGCCAGGGCAGCCTTGAAGCTTTCCACTGATGTTGAGTCCACGGCGGCATTGTCCAGCCTCCAGGTGGTTCCATGCGATTATTGTGCGTGGGACGAATGATTGTTTATATTGCACTGTGTTACACCGAGGCACAGTGACGCATTTTCTATTGTTCCTGTCTATGGCAGGCATGCACAACATACGGCCCGCGGGCCACATGTGGCCCGCCAGCTTCCACTTTGCGGCCCTTTAAGTAACAAAATATTTTTTATACTTATTATTTGTCTTAATAGCTTTCCCTCCTGTCCAACTTTCTTTTGGCCCGCACAAGTCCTGTTCTATTTTCTTTTGGCCCGCACAAGTTTTTCATAAAGTATTACGGCCTGCCTTACATTTTGAGTTGTGCGGGCCTAGTCTATGGGGTTGTTTGAGGTGAAATCAGTGTTTAGTGAGCGTTTGGCTCTGATTAACCGACCTGGCTTCTGTGGGGTGAGATACGTGTTTGATTGGAATGGCCGGCACTAGCCCCATGAACACTTTATATAAGAATATTAGGCGGAGCTTTTCTCGTCTGAATTTGAAGGAGGGGATGTCAAATCTTTTTAAGAGTCCAGTGACGAAGCCAGGGGTGGTGGATTTTCAGTCACGTGCGATGAAGCGCACTGCGTTACGTTGGATTCACTCAATCTTGTCCACGTCTTGCTTTAGGTATGACTCCAAGATGATCGCACCATATTCTAGTAGTGGACGGACGAGTGCAAGATAGGTATTTCGTTTGCAGGAGGTTGGGCAGGGGCGCAGATTTCTTCAAATGAAACCTAGTGTGGAGTTGGTTTTTTAAAAAAAATGTGTTTATATGAGGGTGCCCATTTTAGGTTATCCGAGAAGAGAATTCCAAGGTATGGATTATTTTATACTTGTTGGAGAATTGTCTTGTTTAGGGAGAACATATAGTTGATGGTTTTTTTTCTATAAGGGCAGCTTTTCCTTGGGATAGTCCTGGCACTGAAGAGCATCTGGGAAAACTCCATACATAATAAATTATACAATTGGGGGGAAAGGGAGAAAAAACCCACACAAGTCATAAACTGTAACCAATCCGTTAAAGCTAGGCTACGTTAACAATAGTTTTTGCGGAGCTACTCCGTGTAATAAAGTAAACAAAGAAACAATTACAAGTAAAATTGGCTGCTAAATAAGAGGTTCCTTTTACTTAAATTTTTAGTTTTACATTTCTGAACTCGATCATAATTTAGGAATTCGCTGTTTACAATTAAACGCATTTCTATACGAGTGAGGTCTGCATTTCTAAAGAAGATCCTAAAGTCTTCTTTAAAATATTCTCCCAGGCCTTAAAAACTTAAATTGGCTTAAATTAAAGTCTGTTGTCATTATTGTAAATTAATAAATACTTAATTAAATAGTATAGTATAATTATAATATTAATAGTCTTTGTACACATTATTCATAACAGAAATTGGCTGCATCAAATTCCAATTTTAATATAACCCAGCTAAAATTCTGCGTAAAGTTTGTTCAGATTTAAAATTAAAAGCTCGTTGTAATTTTTGTAAAATGCCATATTTGCGTTTTTTTTTAAATGAGTAAGACTTTTAAGAATAATTTATAATTATAATATAAGTGAAAATTTGAGGCCTGGAGGCTAAACCAAATGTTCTGGCTAAAGTTACCAATTGAGTTGCTAACTAGAATTAACATTCAGCATCTGGGCTGCCAAATTCAAATTTGATATTTTGAGTCTCAGTTTCAATAAATATTTAATATTATATTATATTATGTGTCATGGGCCAAATGTTCTGCCTGCAATCTATGACCCCCACATATGAGAAGATAGAGGCATTATGCTAGAACTCAAATCACCTTTCCTTTATTTAGTCATGACCCCCATATTATAATAATAAAGGCAACTTTTCAAGCAACCCCAATACTAATTCATTAAAAAAAATAAATTAATAGTTGAATAAGTTGAATAAGATATGTTATGATTTATTAATGATTTAGATAAGACCTGTCTTTTCTTTTAAAAACTGTGTTTTTACCACTCACCATATTATTATGCTTACAGTTAAATTAATGAATTCAGATTCTTATTTTAATACTTTATAATAGGCTACTTATTTTGTTCCAGAATCATGTCTGTGATCAAATTATTTATCAATGACACATTTTTTGGACTAAAAGACTCACTAAGTGGATGGTGGGTAGCCTTAAAATGCTGGCGGGATGAGGCTCGTGTTTTGACAGACAAGCCACCACCACCTAAAATCTTTTCTGAGCTAGCAAAACGGCGCAATGAGCAGCAAAAGAAAAAAGAGCCAGATGGGTTAGTTTTATATTTTACATCACAGTTTAAATCGAAAACAAGAAAATGATTATAAATTTATAGAACAATGAAGTTTATTCAATTTTTTTATTTTAAAAATGTGGTCCCCAAACAATTTATCATCAATTATTATATTTTCACTTGTGTCATGGCTTATTTGGTGTAATATTTTAAGAAATAAAATACTACTAAATAATACTAAGATGCTACAAAAAATGCTACTATTGCTATATTGTTACTCATGAAATTTAGCACAGACTGATTCCTTGACTTAAGCTCTCTGCTGCCAAACAAGAAACCCATGAATCAGAAGTTTCTATTATAGAAAACATGTCATTATAAATCAATTAGTGCATTTTTTTACATTGTTATAATAATTTTTATATTTTTAACAGCTCTATCTCCTGGCGGAATGTCTTAAGAATTGCTATGAATTGTTAACTTGCCTTTATGTTTAAAAGTTTTTACAATAATGATGTCTTTTTTTTTTAAAAGGACTTTAATGGACATCATTTGGAATACTGTGACAACTGCTGGGGTGGCACTTTTAGTAAGTTTTAAAAAAAAAAGTAATAAAAAGCAGTTAAAGAAATTAAGTTTTTATTTAACACAAATTTCAAAATTATGTGACATTACCAACAAAATTACATAAATTATTTGTATTAATATTCTGGCCATCATGTCCCTATTATCAATATTAATCACAAAAAAAATGTTTTCATTTCAAAAAAACAATTGGAAGAGAAAGGATCAGCTCCACTAAGTTTGTTTAATAATTCATTTACTTTCAGATCACTTTTCTAATACAGACAGGCTGCTCATCTATAGCAAGTTTATTTGGTAAAAGTTTCACTAAACAAATACTCACTTCAATCTATATTTATGAAATAATCCAAGACACTAGAAACAATACTTTATATTTTCTAATGATTACAATGCATTTTTGACAATCAATATTGAATGTTGGATGGATTTTTGGTACTTCAAGTTTATCAATTAGATTACAAAAATATGAGATAAAAATTTCACTGTTAACTCTGACTTATGATGATATAAGTCAACATAGAGGAAAATGGACGAAATTTTACTTTCGATTCTCATTATCTACTTTAACCACTGCAAATACTATTGCGACACAATACACATTAAACAAAATTTTAGACCTCCAGCTCATGTGAAATATTTTGTATATTCTCTTTGTTCACTCTGGATAATGTCTATCACAACTAATATCAAATTGCTTATCAATGGTTTATGCTATTCACAAAATTTTCACACCCCAGGCCTCAATATTTTCTGAAATCCTGTTCACATAAGCTACCAATAATTAGTGGAACAGCTACTCTCAGAAGTAAATTGACTATTTTAATCTTGTCAAAAGTTTGCTTTTTATTTTGAACTAGGGGCAGAATTATAAAGAAACTAACAAAAAAAAGAAAGAATAAGAAAGAAAGTCAGAGCAGAAGAAAAAAAGAGAAAGAAAGAAAATGAAAGAAATAAAGATGGTACTCACCGGGTGCTTTGATAAAATGCAATCATAATCCAAAAACTGAATGAAAAGGAGCAGTAAATCCATTTTTTTTAAAAATTAAAAACATGAGCTTTTTAATATCCTCTGGTGCCAACAAATCCACGAGTTAAATGAACATTTAAATTCAATGTTTGATAACTTGTTTGTTTTTTTTTCTTACTAGGAGACCACTTTAATCACGGCCTGGCAGTGTCAGCAATCATCTTGAATTTTTTGTGGTGGTTCCCCAGCATGGCAGTCATTAAGCTCACCAGTATAATAAATAATAATGTACGTTTTCATGATACTTGCTGATGAATCAATTATGATTTCTACCCTAATTGGCGATGTTTCAAAGAGTAATAATTTTTCTGTTGACTTAAATTTCTTTTTTTAAATTTAAACCCCTTATTAGTTGAAGTATATTTTTTTTTGGTACTACCTACAGTAAAATAATACTTTAAAAGACAATTCAAGTTATTACAGTTATAAATTTAATGGAAAATGAAATTAATTATATAGAGGATAATTTATATATTTTTTAAAATTTAAAGTATCTGTTGTTTCTTGTTTTGTAGTGTCTGCTAAAGAAGGCATCTAGCTGAAACGTCCGTTCAAATTGTCCTATCTTTTCTTATGAAGCCTAAAAATATCTTGTTCTACTATTTTATATAGACCTTGGTGCATGTTTTTTTAAAACAAAAAAAGTGTATTTCTGCTAGCAATGTACTAAGGGTATTTAAAAAAAAAATCCATTTTGATACATTACATGTTTACTTATTACTTTCCCCCCTTTATCTTGTATTACAGGAAGTTGCCGACAAAGTATTTTTATACAAATATGGCAGGCCTAAATACACATCCATTGGTGCAACAGTTAGTGAGTTCATATTCAGCAGTATCTACCAATTTATATTTATTATTCAGGTAATATTTTAAGACAATTTTCTGACAGCAATATCCATGCTGTGTTTCATATCACCTGGTGATGACATTACAAATCAAAACATTTTTTTTAATGAAACCAACATATCAGAATTAAATCACAACCAGAAAAAAAAAAATTAAATTTTATAAAAATCAAAGTTGCGATGAGGATTTATAAATATGTTGACTATCAACATTGACATTAGAACTGCAATTTAATTCAATCCAAATTTATATTTAAAGATAATTTGCTACCGGGTCTAATATACAGAGCATAATCAGCCTATCTCAGGATGTAAAAACAGCTGTTATAATAGATGCTGCACTTTTTCTCCTTCCACCCAGGCAAGCATAGTGTGTGTCTTGATACCATGGCCGTGGTTGGCTGTGCTACTAGACTGGCTGCACTACTCCCTCTTCTATGCTGTCTATGCTTTTGAGTACAAATGGGCATTGTTAGGTGTGCAATAAATCTTTTTTTTTCTTCTATGATATTTTCAAAATGTTTTTTTTTTTTAAAGACTGCACATATTCCTTGATTTATGAAAGAAATATATGTTCGCACATATTTTGATAGATTTATTCACCTCTAACTGACACCGAACAGTTATTTTGATGCTTTAAATGAGGCCCTCAAAGTTGAAAAAAAAAATGGCCCTGAATTGTTTATTTTACCAGGCATACCAGGACATACTCGTGTTGCTCAAATAGAGAACAATTGGCCCTACTATTTAGCATTTGGTCTGCCTATTCACCTGGCCATAGGCTACTGGGAATCTCTCTACACCAGGTCAGTTATATTTTTATGGATAAATTACTTTGAAGCTATTAAAATGAGAAGACATACAACATTAATTTGTAATTAATAAGTAGTTAAAAAATCAACCCTAAATAATCATAGTTTACTTTTTTTTTCCAATGACTAGGACAATGGCCTTCACCTTACTGTTTCCATTCAGCATACTTGGTGCTACAGCCGCCAATCCACCCAGAAAACCTTTGTAAGTGTAATTTGCTTTGGAATTCTTTGTACCGGTATGCACTTTAAAATTTTAAAATTATGAAAAAATCCATTCTCATCTTTTTTTTTTAACCCTGTCATTACTCCTGAGCATACATTGCAATGCAATTATTCCGAAAAACAAATCACATGGCCATACAGATTCTGACTTACCATGACCAAGCAAGTGGTTTTTCTATTCTCATAGTGTTGTACTGTGTCCATCTAGAAGCCCCCCTCCCCCCAACCCCCACCCTCTCTGTGTAAATTAGTTGCAGAAATTGTGTTAGTTTATCTGACGTTTCATATTAATCAATGGGCTTCCACACTGTTGTGGCTTTTGTACTGAGAGCACCTACAACATACTAATTTTTAAAATTATGGCGATAAGTCTGCAATGCAGTTCCAGATTAGAACCATTGCTGATGGTGAGTCCATCATGGTGCGAAACTGTTCTCATCAGACATCATTATAATCTCTATTTATATTTTGCTTGTGGTGTGACTGCTTCCATTTCCGGATAGCATGCCAAATATAATTCCTGATAACTACGCTAAATGATTTTTTTTTTAAATAAGTGCGTTTGGTGCATAATATTTTCTTTTCCGAAAATGAAAACGTCTCAATTTAAATATGGTGTAATAAATATTTGTTTTAAAAGAGGTGGGGATATCAGAATATTATTATTGTTCTTGGGCGTGAAATAAAAAATGTAGCAAAAATTGGGATTCTTAAATGTGTGTTACTTGAGTTCATGTTTTGTCAAGTAAGGAGATGGGAAGTTCATAGATTGCTGTTGCCAATGTTTGGTGAGCTATAACTAGTAACCAATATTTTCATTCAAGTGGGTAGATATGATGAGTGCTTTTATTCTTATTACGAGTCAAAAATAATTTTCACTGGCTCAGAATGGGAAAGTTTAATTTTTGAGTTTGGATTTTTTAGATAAATATTTCAAATTCTCTCTAAGATATATTTCAAAATATTATCATAACTATGTCAGTAAAATATTTATCTGCTTTTTTTTTTTTTTTTTTCAGTTCTTTCCCAATTCATATAATGTTTCCTTCTTTATATGTAACAAATTAAGCGTACAAATTTTTGAGTTTGGATTTTTTAGATAAATATTTCAAATTCTCTCTAAGATATATTTCAAAATATTATCATAACTATGTCAGTAAAATATTTATCTGCTTTTTTTTTTTTTTTTTTTCAGTTCTTTCCCAATTCATATAATGTTTCCATCTGTATATGTAACAAATGAAGCGTACAAGTTTCTTAAGAAACCAAGCAATAGAAAGGTAGGAATCTAATGAATTATAATTTAATCAAATAAATATTTTCAAATGGTTGTTCAATATTTTAAATTAAAAGGATTTTCATCTGGTTATTAAAAGTGTAACGTCTAATTACTTGGGCTACACTGGTCATACATGTTTAACTAATGAATTGAATAATATTGTATTGGTCATGTAAAGTTCTGACTCGGAAGAAATCCAGTCATATAACTTATATGCTGGGTTTTGTACTAGCTACTGATACTACTGTTAATACTGATGCTACTGATACTTCTGATACTACATATACTTCTGATGCTACTGATACTAATGATGTTACTGATGCTAATGATGTTACTGATGCTTCTGATGTTACTGATGCTGCTAATACTTCTGATACTGCTGTTACTTCTTATACCACATTTATATACAAATTTAAAATTTTTTTTTATCAGCCTGCAACTAGAGACATTGATCAGCCAACAAGATAATGATAAAGAACTGCACCAATCATCACTGTACGGAGTCATCCCTGTGCCCAGTCAACATTGTACCAAGTTATCATTGTACCGATTTCATCATCTTTCAATGAGTTCAAAGGATTTCTTTGTGCTGCTTTTTATCATTTGCATGTTGTTTTTTTTTATAAAAATCAAATTTTTTTTTTTTAATCAGTTCGATTCTTTGTTTTTAGACCCGCTGTCTTTCTTATTACGACGCAGAGTGTACCAACGCTTTCATGTCAATAACGCAAAGAACGTCATCTTAGGGAACATCTGTAGCATCCCGTGAACACTCTCCTATAAACCGATACACATCATCAAGTTGTGTTCACAAGTAATAACAAGATTTAGCCAACTCAATTTTTTGTTTAAATGCGATAAAAAAAATAATCCATCCATCCTGGTTTAATTTTATCAGTTCACCTTGGCCAAATTAGCATTTCTCAATTTTTTTCCCCACAAGGGAAAGGAAAGCAGAATACCAGATTTACCCTTGTATGATGTCAGAAGCGATTATCACTAGTCTCATGAAAGTTTTGGCAATTGTTGCTCTAAATCATGAATTATTTGAAGACAAAGACTGCTGTATAGCAAGGATGCAGCTGTGTGTATTTCACATCGTTTAGAGATCTGTGGACATAAGTGGTTCTTATGCATGAACGTTTGTAATAGACAGTGAGCCAACGAAAGTTAGTAAGAGATAGTGAGCCCATAAATAAAAGTTAGTAAGTGAAAGTGAGACAATGAAAAATGGTAAGGGATTACAAGGCAATGAAAGCCAGTAAGGGATTATGAGCCAATGAAAGTTAGTAAGGAATAGTTAGCCAATGAATGTTCGAAATAGTGAGCCAATGAAATATGTTTGAATTGTAAATGAAAAACTGAAAATGGAATTCTATTTTTACACTGTTGTATGTAACTTATGTTAGTGAAGTGATATGTGGGCTTTGTTCAACACTTTCTTCCTTAGGATAGCAAATGAGTTGATTTTGATTTTATATCTGATGTTGGTCTAAAGGTGCTAATTCGTTGTGCCATTTTGTAAAATTATGATTTGATTTTAAATCATTAGTTCCTTCCATGAAAGCATTGAAAGGCCACCTGTTGTACATTGCCCATAGTCATTAATGCTGACTGGTTTTAAGTTGCATTCATTTAACACAACTTTTTTTTTTTCTATTTTACAAACGGCAATAAGTTCAAGTAATTAATGAACGTGTTTTTATATTGTTAACGTCACTCTGTATATTTTGATTAAGAATGTCTTTTTTTTTTATTTTTATTTGTCACCAATCTTTATTTTATAAGCATCAGGATAGTATAGACAGCCTAGTTTTGATCTCATCACGAAGTTGGCTTCTGTCCTCTGTGGTTGAGAGGATTTACCTACTCCCCAAGAATTGCTGCCTTTCTGGGCTCTTGAGTTCTTTCAACACAGCTATTTTTGATCAACAGGTGAAGACGCCATTCAACACATTTAAATACGTAGTGTCTTGGTTATGACTCAGATGTTCTACCATTTCCCCAAAGGGCTAACCGAAAAATGGCTAAGAGCTGGATACCTCACATTACCATGCTTACTTCAAGGTTGGCACTGGACTGAAACAGTCTGGGAACCATGTGCTAGCTGAAATTTATTTCTTTTGAGTATTTGTTAGAGCCAAGCTTATGACCAAAGTAATTACTTCTACCTGCTTAATGCAAACATAGCTCCATAAAATCAGTTATACTTTGATGTTTTCACATAGTAACTGTTTTATACCATGTCAAGGCTTACCACCTAAGTACTTAATATTAAAGTCAAGAATTTACCTCTGAATACCGGTACCATAAAATCTCAATCAGGCTTATTATTTTTAAGGTTTGGTCCGCATGATAAAAAAAATCTGGACAGCAAATGGAAACTATTATTAAATATGCAATAAAATAAGTAAGGTTTTTATATAACTAATGACTCCTTTGATCATGAAAATCAAAATGTTGTGGTATATTTTCAAAAAAAAATGTAAATGTCTTTTATAAGATTCAAAGCAATTGAGATGACATTTCAGTCCTTTGGTGATTTCAATGTGACATTGCTAAGTTACAAAATATGGATATGTTGTCAACTTTCAGATTCTTCCCTAACAATTTGCAATAAACCTCTCATAGTTTATTCATTTTTTTAGATTAGAGATATTTCATATTTCAGTCAAACAGGAGCCACACATTTGTCCAAATTAGAAATGTTGCGCACTTTCCCCAGTGCAGAAGTGTACACTAAATAAACACAATCAACCCATCACTATCATAAATGAAGTGAAACTTTCCCAAAGTGGGTTCACTTGACAAAATTATGCTTCACCTATTCTAACAAAATTACTCTGCCCAGTAAGGAAAACTAAATGACCTTTCTTTTTAAAAATAAAAAATTCTATGATGAACTTAGCCCAATTAAAACTCTTAAAATCTCAATGCTGATACAAAATATGACAAAACTAAAGATACGGGAGCAACTGAAACCAACAGGTTGTGGGCACTAAGAAAACTGTTAAACTGAAATGAATTCTTTTATAAAATTTCAAGATTTAAAAAAAAAAGAAAAAGTAACACGTTTCGAGAGTCCTAATATGATATTTTTTATTAATATAGACGTGTGTAAACGTAGTATCAGCTTTGACTTGTCGTTGCTCTTTATATTTTTGAAAAGCCAACTATGATTGACTAGTGTGTGTATTTCTAATATGGGACCAATTGTAATTTGAAAAAAGAGTTATTTTACTTAGCTTATGTTTGCTGCGAGATGTCATGTGTGTGTTTTTTATACTATACTTTTTACATTTGAATGTACCTTATTAACATTTGTGCCAGTTTTTCATGAAATGGCTGTGGTGATAAAAAATTTAAAAAAATGAAATTTGAAGTTCCTTTATGTTTCAAAAATAAAAACTGGAAGATAGATCCAGTAAGTTGTGGTCATTTAACAGGATTAAAAAAATTAAGTGCCAAGTTGACCCAAGGAGCAAGGCTTTCTCTTTTAATTAATCATAATCTGTTTCATCAGAAATTTATTTTTTCTTCTTCCTAATTTTTACCCTAGGCTCTGGTACTGCCCTATATAAGACCACTTTAATGATTAAAGCATAAGTGAAAATAAGTGACAGGCAAGAGGGTGGTCTTTAAGGTCATCACACCCCATTGTTGCCCCTGCAAGGAGATTATTCCCCCTTTTTTTAATTTGACACCAATATTTATTGTTTCTGATTTTTGGGCAGCCTATAAATATAATAATACTGATAATTTATCCCATTCTAAATGGGCTGCCGTCTTTCAAACTTCAGTGATTTACATTTTTTATTTAGGATTTTTCTCCATCAATAAACTGACATCAAATTTACCATCTACACATTAAGAAAAGTGTAATAAAAATGGAAATAAAAAAGTGTATTTGCTTTGTCCCTGGCTCCTTCAGGTGGGTTTATTCAAAATAAATTAGTTTCCAAAGAATTTTTAAATTTTATTTCAAGCACTCATGCGATTTGGAAATTTAATATCACAAAAGATAACACAAGTTTTCAAACAATGGACAATTTGTATAGTTGTGTACCAATAGACAGAAAATAATTTTTAAAACAATTGAAAACATTTATGTACAATTAATTTCAGCAGTATTAATTTACATGGAATAAGATTTGAAATAAATAAATTGAAAGTTTTATGAAATATGGGATCGGGGGGGAACGGGGGGGGGGGGGNAGAGAAAGGTAAGTAAAAATCAACTTCAAGTTGATACCGGTAAGGTTACAACTCAAAAACAATAAATGGCTCTCAAAGGACAAGGATTACAAAATGAAACTGCCCTGTCCATCCACCAACCTAAATAAAATGCTCTAAAGTTTTGATCTGGGTTGCTTGGCACTAGGATAGAATTTTTACCCAAAAGAATTCAATTCTTGAATGTTACCCATAATTAAGTTGATGCATTTTAAAGAATATTCTTAGGCCATTAAATACACTCCAAAAATGTACTTATTACTAATCATAATGTACCAGGCCATATGTAAAAATTCTCAAAATTCATCATTGAATTATACCCTTCAAACAAAAATCCTGATTGCTGCAATAATTTTTATATAGTGCAGATAACAGTACATGATATTGATAACATTAAGGTCGGCTTACTTAAAACTGCTCTATAACAAATAATTTTAAGTATGAATCTTTAATAAAGGTTAACATATTTTAGAATGTTAGTAGCTTAGTTCACATTATGTGGGATGAATGAGAGTACCCAGTGCTATATAAAGTCAACTTGTTTCAATGAGCGTATTAGTACTTTATTTATTCATTTTCTTCATCAATCAGTCTTAACCAGTGACCTACTTTCATAAATCCTAGAGGTTTGCATAGTAATTGTAGCAAAATAAACCTTGTCCTAATAAAAAAATTAGTATGGTATTGGATTTTTTTTCTTTACTGATTTGAAAGAATTTTTTTTTAGGTAGACAAGTAGATCTATTCTGATTTCCTTTGGTTATCAACTCATCTAGGGATTTAACAAAACCATTAGATTTTTTAAGATTTTAAGACATCTATAAAATATTTTTCAAAAAATCCTTGACAATAATCTCCCACATGATTCTGTATAAGTTGAAGTGACATGGCTAAATGATTATGTGCATGTAGGCAACCCTAAAATTCAAAAACAAGGGGAGCAACCCATTCAATGAAAACATTGGCGTTTTTGAGGCAGCGCCCCCCCCCGCCAGTAAATATCCAGATTTTATGGCAACAGTATGTACTGTCTATATTCTGCATTAACTTAATATCCATGTCATTGATAAGGCAGAGTTCTTCAGAACAAAAACAAAATGGTATAGTATAACGATATTACTATTATTACTTAATATCGATATTACTTAATATCGGTCCACCACAAAATATTTACAAAGATAAAGACAATATAGTTATGCATTTGGCAGTAAAGCTGTTACATAGTCTCTAAACAAAATTCAAGAGGTCAATAAGGGAAGAAAATAAATTATAATCTCTACTTTACTACCCAATTGCGCCAAGAAGTGTATGCCAGCACAAGCAAACACAGTCGGATAATTTAGAAAAAAAAAGGGGGGGGGGGGGGGACACAAAAAATTTTACAGTGGGCCGATAACGTACAATACTTGCAAGCCAGAACTAAAGCTCCGAGAAAAAAGGCGAAAAACTAAGTTTAGTATGCCATGTTAATCATTTAATTGATAAATTTAAGGCGCAAAGCAGCCAGGAGTCTCCGCACGTGTGAAGATCTCCTAATATTCTAAACATGATGCTGAAATTTATATTGTATCACAAAGTCTCTTGTTCCATTCGTTTTATCAAGCAAATTTATCAAACGGGCCTGATAAACTGTTGTCTCGGGCCAAATCTGGCAAGTGGGCCCTAGTTTGGCGACCCCCTGATTTAGACCATAAATATAAATGTTAAATAAGGAAGTATTTTTATAAGGTTTTATTATGTTATTCTTAACTGCTTCCCTATGCTTTGTAAACTGTTGAAAATAAAGAGTTTTCTTCAAAACTTCGCAATGAAATAAATTCAGCTGCATGTGCCCTGGGGTGTTTGTATATACCAATGCACAGCATGTAAGTTTACTTTCCATGCTCAACCTTCCAGTAGCTTTTGTTTTAATTTCATAGCACACAAAATGTTACACACAAAAATAATTTAATGCTTAATACAGCCGAGGGAAAATGGGTGACAGCCGAGGGAAAATCAGAGGGAAAATGGGTGACAGCCGAGGGAAAATGGGTGACAGCCGAGGAAAAATCAGAGGGAAAATGGGTGACAGCCGAGGGAAAATCAGAAGGAAAATGGGTGAGCAGATATTAGATGTTATAAATACTTTAAAGATATCACCTTTTTTTTTGGCTCATAGTGGGACTATTTTGTATTCAAACTTGAGAATCTGGGTGATTTGACAACTAGACTATATTGTGTTCAAACTTGAGACTCTGGGTGATTTGACAACTAGACTATATAGTAGTCAAACTTGAGACTCTGGGTGATTTGACAACTAGACTATTTTGTATTCAAACTTGAGACTCTGGGTGATTTGACAACTAGACTATTTTGTATTCAAACTTGAGACTCGAGGCAATGTCACAAACGTATTTTTTTTTTTTTTTTTCAAACTTGAGGCCCTGGGAAAGTGTCATGTTGAGGCCAACAACCGATACTGTCCCTCTTGCCTGTTGAAAACTTGAAGTGTAACAAAAAGAGACACGAAAGGGTTTGGAGGAAAAAGTTAAAATTCTGGAACAATGAAAAAACAGGTGCAACTTAAATTATTGCAAAAATGTATTCAAACTTGAGACTCTGGGTGATTTGACAACTAGACTATTTTGTATTCAAACTTGAGACTCGAGGCAATGTCACAAACGTATTTTTTTTTTTTTTTCCAAACTTGAGGCCCTGGGAAAGTGTCATGTTGAGGCCAACAACCGATACTGTCCCTCTTGCCTGTTGAAAACTTGAAGTGTAACATAAAGAGACACGCAAGTGTTTGGAGGAAAAAGTTAAAATTCTGGAACAATGAAAACACAGGTGCAACTTAAATTATTGCAAAATGCTCTGCAGAGCATCCTCTTGATAAGTGATTTATGTTTATATAAATTTTAAAAAAAGTATATGTTTTAAGAGAAATAACTTTTACAGTTTACTTGTGTGATAAAATACATGAGTCAGAGAGTAACATGTGTAATGAGTTACATTTGAGGCAGGGATATTTTTAAATGTTAGGGGGCCTTCCATTAGTGTTGTCATGCAATTTTGGGAAATGATAATTTGGCACACAATTTAGACATCCCCATTATACATCGTCACAAAAGCGACCCCCCCCCCCCAGCTGTGTAACTTAATTTATGGATGGCCCTCTAACTTAAACTTATCCTCTCATACATTTTTATATATTTTTTTAACCCCATTATACATCTCCACAAAAGCGACCCCCCCCCCCCCAGATGTGTAACTTAATTTATGGATGGCCCTCTAACTGAAACTTATCCTTCTATACAATTTTATATAATTTTTTACATGGAAAAATACACCCGATAGAACGCCATGGAACAAAAAAAATATGTATAATTTGAAGGAAGAGTCAAAAGACAAAATGGCCTCTACTGAAATCCCAAGGCAGGTCAACAGTTCCATTTGTAAGGCAAGGGAACATCCACGTTTGTTACGGTGAAAAGGAAAAGATGTCGGAACTAGGAGAGACCTCTCATTATATAACCTACACTTTTTGTTTCATGGTTTTTAAATAATAACAATCAGACACAAGCTGCTTCTCAGGCAGGGTTTCCATTCAAATAGGTGTCAGGGGGTCCACAAGCTGCTTCTCAGGCAGGGTTTCCATTCAAATAGGTGTCAGGGGGTCCACAAGCTGCTTCTCAGGCAGGGTTTCCATTCAGATAGGTGTCAGGGGGGTCCACAAGTTGCTTCTCAGGCAGGGTTTCCATTCAAATAGGTGTCAGGGGGTCCACAAGCTGCTTCTCAGGCAGGGTTTCCATTCAAATAGGTGTCAGGGTGGTCCACAAGTTGCTTCTCAGGCAGGGTTTCCATTCAAATAGGTGTCAGGGGGTCCACAAGCTGCTTCCCAGGCAGGGTTTCCATTCAAATAGGTGTCAGGGTGGTCCACAAGTTGCTTCTCAGGCAGGGTTTCCATTCAAATAGGTGTCAGGGGGTCCACAAGCTGCTTCTCAGGCAGGGTTTCCATTCAAATAGGTGTCAGGGGGTCCACAAGTTGCTTTATCTTTGTAATTTCCTGACATGCATTTAATTTAAATACTTTGCTATGAGAAAGGATCCACGGCCTTAATCTGACTTGCAAAAGGGGTCCATGGATCACCCATTCAAATAGGTGTCAGGGGGTCCACAAGCTGCTTTTCCTTTGTAATTTCATTACTAGCATTTAAATTTAAATATTTTGCCATGAGAAAGGATCCACGGCCTTAATCTGACTTGCAAAAGGGGGCCCAGACCCCCCCCCCCCCCCCCAAAGGTTCAGAAGCTTATTGTAACTCAATAGCCACCTTTGTGCATAAAATAGGGAATACATTGCATAAAAAAAAAGCTCATTTAAAATAAAATTTAAAAAAAATTTCAACTGGTAACAATGATAGCCACAAAAGAAAGAAAGATTTCTGGGCCACGTTCAGTGTAAAATACATTATAATAATGCTGTGGCTGCTAAAGATGGTATGCTGAAAGCCTCTATGATAAAATGTAACAAAAATCCCCTGATTATGTAGAAGAAGAAACCCAATGTTACAAGTGAATGTTAATTGAATATCCCCTTGAAGATCTGTAAAATGTCAGCATGCAGAATAAGAGTTTCCTTGGAAAAATATTCCACATGATTTACTTGAGATAAAGAATATAGAAGATGATAGTGCATGCAAAGACATCATTTTTCAAGAAGAAACTGATTATGGTATTTCCGGAAATGATTCTTGTAAATTGCTAGAAATAATATATGAATATACATCTTAAAAACTTTGATAAAAATTTTGTTCATAATTCACATTCCATTTACCCTGCCATTTCCAAAGAAAATGTTTATTAAACTATGTACTTAAAATAGTACGCTATGGTAAAACCTGTGCTGCTATATGGAGCCGAGACATGGAGAACAACGGCCGTAAACCTTACCAGAATCCAGTCCTTCATCAACAACTGTCTAAGAAGGATTCTCAGAATTCACTGGCCAGACAAAATCAGCAACCAGGAACTGTGGCAGCGGACTAAACAGAAACCCATTGAGGAAGAGATTCTCCAGAAGCGGTGGAGGTGGATTGGTCATACACTAAGAAAACCTGCTTCTAACATAACAAAGCAAGCCCTGAAATGGAACCCACAGGGTAAGCGGAAAAGAGGCCGTCCAAGAAACACTTGGCGCCGAGAATTGGAGACAGACATCAAGAAAATTGGCCATGAATGGAAGATCCTGGAGAAGCTGGCCCAGGATAGAGATGCCTGGAGGTCTCTCGTAGGTGGCGTATGCCCTTGGAGGAACCGCAGACGCCGACGATGATCGGTGGATGCCCCTCATGGACGAGAAGGCTCAACTCACAACTCAACTTAAAATAGTAAAAATCTTTCTGATGAAACAGTAAATTTTTACGCCACGACCTTAAAGAGTACAGCTTTTCTAATATGCAATGTGAAAGAAATTATATTAAATTTCCCTGCAAGGATACAGATATGGTTTTTGTACAAATTAAACGATATCTTAAGAAACATTTTAAACAATTTTCTACACTTTACACACATTTATAATTAAGTCTAATATTTTTTTTTACATGCCACTTTTGAATTAATTTTCTTATACAACTTTCAAACTAAAAATGCATTAAAACTTGTTTCAAAACTCGTGCTGTGGTTTCCAATTAATTTCATTCAATAGATTACAAATATTTTTGTGCATGTTCATATGCTATGAACATGAATTCTTGAATGCATCTCTCACAAAGAGTCCGTTATTCCCATCTTTGATTTCCCTGACACTGAGAATCTCTTGCTCACCCGTGACTCCGCCAACGCACGTCTTCACATCCTGTCTAGGAAAATCTTCAGATGTCGATGCCACACTGCCGTTTCTTTGGCTGCCAGTCGCCTCATTTGCTGAAACTTTCCCTACCCTGTTTGTGTAACGTCTGCTGTACTTTCGTATAACATAGTTCAAAATGCCTAAGAAGAAAATCCAGCCTATGATGTAAATGCACGTGCCTCCCAGCCTACCCCAGAAGTCAGTGTCCTGCAAGCAATCAAACAATAGATCAATGGGGAATAATTAACAACAGAGCTGTGTCATGAAAAAAATAATAATTTCATCTTTTTCTTTTCAGCCATCTTGTAATTTCCATTGTCAATGCAAAATTTAATTTAAAGTATTTTTCATAAGGATTGTTTCATTTATCTTTTGCAATATTTAAAATAAATAAACATTCATTATATATTTATCTGGACTTTAAAAAAAGCCATTGTAACTATAGTGCATACTTGAATTTAAATTATTATTCATAAGGGTAGAGTCATTTATCTTTTGCTTTATTTAAAATAAATTAACATTCAGTATATATTTATCTGGCTTTAAAAAAAATGGCAGCAACTACTAACTAATAAATAATATATTTCATTTTCAATGAACGCTTTCTTTAAGAATTATATATCATGTGCTTTCTTCAGTCCAGGTATTTTGAAAATAATTTTTTTTTTGGTGAAACTTCATAAAAGAGCAGTTTTTTTAAACAATTGTTGAAATTTAAATTAGTACATTTTATGTAACTTTTAATGATTGTAACAAGGAATACTTTAATTGGTCTACAACACAGCAGAAGTTTAGATTTTTTTAGAAAAATCCATAATTAACTTAGCTCTGCGCATCTAGCTAGCTCAATAAACTAATCTCTTTAAGTGAAGCAGATGTTGCATTCCCCCCCCCCCCATCTCCTTATATTCTCTTGCATTTTTTTTCAATATTCGGGTTTTTTTAATTTTTTCAAAGTTTAGATTTTTTTAGAAAAATCCATAATTAACTTAGCTCTGCGCATCTAGCTAGCTCAATAAACTAATCTCTTTAAGTGAAGCAGATGTTTCATTCCCCCCCCCCCCATCTCCTTATATTCTCTTGCATTTTTTTTCAATATTCTGGTATTTGTAATTTTTTCAAAGCCTATTACAGCTGCATTGCCACATAGCCAATTATAGCAGTATTGCCACATTGCCAATTACAGCAGCATTGCCACATTGCCTATAATAGCAGCATTGCCACATTGCCAATTACAGCAGCATTGCCACATGGCCTATCATAGCAGCATTGCCACATAGCATGTTATGTTTTGTAGCTGGTCTTCATAATGAGATGGGGGAGGGGGTGTGTGGGTGTATTGAAGGAGAGAGGGAAAATTCTAGATTGCCAGAAGACTTATTTAATGTTCAATCTCTTTAACTCTATGGCCTAATATGCAGCTTTATTTACAGCTATAATGATTTCTAAACAGCTCTACTGCAGTCCAGCCATCATGCTTTCTGTATTACTAACCTGCTGGTAGTATGAATAGAGCAGCATGGAGCCTAGGATGATGCGTATAAAACCAAAAGACAAGATGAAAGCCCAGTCTACAATGTCACCAGCTATAGTTTTATAATAGCCAGTCTGCCTGAGGAACCATCTGAGCTGCAGCAGAGGGTTAGTTACTTCGGCTCCCCCTATAGTTGCCACCAGCTCTGTCCCATAGTATCCAGCAAACAAACACCACGAAAGACCAACTATGCTGAGTAAGTGGTGAGCGATCATCACGGGACCTTGAGAGAAAACACAATTGTGAATATAGCAACATTTATCCCACTAGAAATAATGACACCCTCCAAAATATGACGAGTTTTCTTAATAGTTAAACTTCCATCCATAAGAAAAGAAAACCCGTTAAAATAGATATAACAAAGAAAAACAAGATATATATTGATTACGATGTGAAAGCAAATAAATTACTTAACAATCAACAACAGACTTACATGACAATAAACAATCCACTTGGGTATATAAAAATTTACACATTGATAAGACAATCAGGAATGTCTTCTAATTGTATTTGAGTTGAAGAATCTAAACTGGAAATTAACTTAATTACATTGCATATTTTCCATGTAAACAAAATTATGTAAAATTGAATAGATGGAAAACTATATGCTAATATATCAACAGTCGTCAACTTTCATAAGATTTAACTCACTAGTATTATCTGTCCACTAAAGCTAAAATTGTTAGCTGTTTACTTTAGTTTCGTTTTTTTTACATATTCATCTAAAGTGGATTGTAAAATATGATGATCAGTCTTACCTTCCGTTTTAAAATATAAACACCATCCAAAATCAAATAGGAAATAAGCTAAACACAGCCCAACTGTTCTGATTTGCATGGGTGAATTTGGCCCACCTAAAAACATAAAGTAAAGTAGTTTGTTAACTATGTTAAGCCCTCTGGAATATGTTTAAAGCAGTCACAACGAAACAAAAAAGATTTGACATCAACTATATTATATCACATACCCGTATACTGTGATCTCAAACATTTTTTCCCAGAACACTCAATTAAATATTTAATTACAGTATATTATTGAAAGAAGAATGTTTTAATAGTTTTAATTATTATCAGATCTAATGGTGTATAAATATTTTCATTAGGCGTAATTAGGCTTTTGTACACAACATTTACATGTTAATGTGAGAATTGACAGTGCTCGGACTCATCAAGGCTTCCGATCCCCAGGGTGAAAACATTTGTTTTGCCTAAAAGACCAATTTAGTTTCTGCTAATTATTTCTAAGAATGAAAAAAGTTTGCTTTAAGATAGAGTGATAAATAAAATAAATTTATAATTTACTGAAGAGTTTTACAAGAGTATTACTTTATTTAATTCTTAAAAACAATAATTAAGGTAAGTTCATCTCCCCAGAGAAAAAACCATTTGTTTGTTAAGAAGACCAAACTCGTTTCTGCCCATTACTTCTAAGAATGAAAAAAGTTTGCCACTAGATAGAGTAATAAATAAGATAAATATATAATTTAATATAAAATTTACTGAAGAGTTTATACAAGAGTGTTACTTAATTTAATTCTTAAATAACTAAGGTAAGTTCGTCTTTTAAGTACTTCAGACTATGATAAATACTTTTTTTCTTTTAAAATTTACACTTTTCTTAAATATAAAATGTTTAACTCCTGTATCACATGAATTAACTGTGAATCCCCCCCCCAGCATTCTGTGCAGTTATATAACTTCTTTTAAACGGCACGTTATTAGGTACATAAACTTTTTTTTTTTAATTCATCTATCAATAAGTTGCATTTTACTCATGTGAGGAAAAAATAGCTTTTTCATTTATTATGATGATGAGTTGAACTAACCTGCACTTGTAAACGGCCAAGGGCCAATAACGTAGGTGCTGTAGATTGCCATCAATGTTATACCCACTGCATGCAGCACTGTAACTGTCCTGCAGTGCCATTCATAGCTCCTTGATGGATTCCAAAGGCACAGCAGGAAGTAGAGTGTCGTCCATGCAAAAAAGTATGTCAATATTTCCAGGAAATCAAAACTATTAACTGCAAACATTCTTGAGCTTGACATTTCTGTTAAATTTTGTATTTCTTTGTCCTCTTCTCTAGTCTGCAACATTTAAACAATAAAACAATAAAACAATTAAGAATTTATTGTAGTATAAAAAGCCTGATTCCACTTAACAGGACATTAAATGGTGAACTAACCTATTTGGTTAATTATATTTAAAATTAATTTAAAGAGGTAATTTGTTCACTTAAATGGGGATTATAGTTTTAAGCACTCATGCTAAGAGATGGCAGACATCACCAATAATCATTATAACAAATTAGGCTAAAGTGTTTTTTTTTAAAATAAACTTCTTTTATTTTTTACTCAACCAATAAAATTTAGAAAATGCCCCTAAGATGTCTTGTGTTAAAAATTGTTATATTTTAAAAAATGTTTGTCTCTGTAAGAATATTTATGTATGTGCTGAAAATGAATATGTACATTTTAATTACATTTTTTTAATTTGGATCAATAACAGGATCTTACCTCATCTTATTTAGGATAATGCAATGCTTTATGCAGCAGAAATAAAATATTTTATGTTATGATTTGATTTACCGTATTCAACAGCGGTACTTTTGGGTGGGTTGGTTGCCATGGATAAAAAAAATTCCATATAACTATGTATAAACATAAAACAAAAATTATTGTATATTGATAAGTATGATTCCTTAACTAAAATAATTATTTTAAAATGTTCAGTTGATGAAATTTAAAAACCCCATCTGTATTTACTATAACTATATTAAAACTATATTATAAGTTTATATTTTCATTCATGTCTTAAATGCTTTTGCATTTTATAAAAGCAAAAGCATTTAAGTAAGATATCTATATAAAGAAATAACTGTTCAATTCTTATTATACATATAATTACAAATAGAAGTGACAAGCTGAAAAAAAGATCACATAACACCGAGGAAAATCCTTAGTAGTCAAAGTAGAAAAAAAAAGGTACATTTGGTTGACAACTTGGTCTCACTTTTGTTAACCATGCAATGAGCTCTACACTATTCAGTCAACAGTTAGGTTGCTCTTTTAATCACAAAGTTTAGACATTAGCCCCACCCACCCCTTTTTCATAAATGATAAATGAATTTAAAAATGTATAGTAAATTAATGAATATGGATGGAGAACGCAAACCAACCAGGAATTGTATAGCCTATATCAGGATATCACGCTAGTTGCAGAAACAAAAAAGGCACAGTCTACACTGTGCTGGACACTTATAAAAAATTGAAAAATGTCAGAGGAGTGAAGAGGGTGCACCACCAAAACCCCAGAGGACAATGTGTCAAAGGCAGACCTAAGCTAAGATGGATGGATGATGTTGACAGCTTACGCTGCTTGGAATCCAAGCACGGAAAAGAAAAGCATCAGTTAGGTCTGGAAGGATGTGGTGAGGCAGGCCTAAGCCCTACATGGACTTTGCGTCCATAAACATATTTTCAACACCAGCATAATTTGAAATAATAAAATGTTGTTGATGAAAAACAACAGAGTTTTTGTAAGCTTGTAGATTCCATGGTGTCTGATCTGGTTTGTTTCCATAAGTGGCATAAGCCATCCATCCGCCTGATACAATAAGTGAGCCTGGAAGGATATATCTCTCTGTACTGTATGCACTCATGTAACATAAACGCACCTGACACTACAATGAAAAATTAGTGGCCACTCATTCTTTCGATGCCACTGAAAAACCCAGTGGTCCCTCCACAGTACTATACGTACATCATGATGAATTCTGCTGGGAAATTTGCTTTTAATATTCAAAATATGTTTAGAAATAACTTTTACACTATTATTAAATTATATGAATCATTGTAAAATAAAGACAAGAAAAGGATGTAAGGAACTTACTCTCAGCAAGTTGACAATGCGACTGGCTCAATGAGATAACAAAGGCCTCGGCCTAACTTTTCACATTATTTAAGTGGAGGTGGCCATCTTGCACACAAAGCTCGAGGTGAAGATCCGGTTTAAAATTTAAATAATGATCTTTAATAATTTTCTGCAACATGAAGTAGCATCAAATAATTTGCACACTTTTAGTTATCTTTTAATTATATTTAATCTGTACCATTAGTACTACATCTGTATAAAAGTCTCTTTAAAAATAAAAATGTGTAACCATGGCAACATAAATATAGAAACATCTGTATCGCAGAAACGAAAGTAAAATATAGTTATAGTAGGCATTAAAAAACGCTCTTTTTGTTTCTTTAAACTCTAAACAGCAAAGGTTAACATTATTGGGCTTATGGTTTATTTTTAAAATTGAAATTTATTGTAAAACATTCTATCAAGAACATTGCATCTTCTTCGTTATTGAACTTATTTTTATATAAATTTTTTTTTTTTTTTTTTTTAAATAATAAACCTCCTTTTCTTCACACAGCATCCATTTTTTACACTACGTCACAGCCGGTGGCGATTTTGCCCACCATCTCCTAAAAAAAACAGGAGTTGGTTCTTAACTTTGTATTGTACGGGTACAAAGGAAGAAGTAGAAGAATACAATGATGGCAAAGTGAGCCGGTCTGCTCCTTTTTGCCTGTGACAGCTCCTAACTTCTAGGACGAGAAGGAAAGGTAGAAGATTAAAATTAAATTATGATTAAAATATTTCTTACTATAAAAATATTAATAAAGTATTAATATAAATTAATCAATAATAATAATAGTATTTATAAATGTGTAGTCTCTGTTTGTAGTTTAGTTAAGGAGAACATTCGATTTTAAAATATTATGATTATTATTATTTTCATTATTCATTACAATCAATAAACCAATGCCTATATTTTGTAGGCAAACTACTTGCACATTTAATTTAAAGTGCGACTCCACATTTTATTTAAAATAATATAACTGTAATACTGTTTTAAGTGTTTTTTTAAAAAGATTATTAAGAATCATTTAAGAATGAATTGCCAAATATAATGAATAAGAGTAAGATAATTAGGGAAGGGTGGGGGGAGGCGCTTCAAGTATCCTCCTTGACTGCGTAGAAGTCCAGTTACCAAAACACCACAGCCCATAAAGACTATACTAGTAGTGAATTTAGAAATTGAAGCCATTAAATTTAAATGCTGTATATTATAATTGACAAATTGTAATATATACGAAAAGATTCATTTATTGATCCAAATAAATGGAAATGTTTTTTTTATTGCATTATACATTTTCAGCTCAAAAATAAAACAATTTGAACACAAGACATTTACAATAAATTATTTCAAACAGCCATTCAGTCAGTTCTCTTAGCAAAATCGGGGACTTGTTAATTCTCATTCAGATGTGTGACTTCAGAGGAAGCACGCCGGTAAATTCGTACAGATTGGGGAACAAAAGAATTTTTATATCTGTCAGTCCTCGCCCTGATGGAAAGAATTCATCCCAAATGGCCCGATCCTAAGTATCTGTGATGAAGAGGGTGGGACGTATCATCCAAAATGTGTTTAATTTTGCAAAAACATCTTTCTTCAAATAGTTCTTCAAGTGAAGGATGCTTAGTTTGTGTTATGTTCCTAGCTTTCTTGATTAGTCGGTTTATACAGAGTTTAATATCAGACGTTGAATTCCCACACCAGCAGGTAATACTGAAATTAAGCAGGCTTTCAATAGTTGCACTGTAGAATAAGTTAACGACTTGCTTGTTTAAGCCGAAATTGTACAGTTTTTTGAGGTAGAACAATCTTTGGTTGAATTTCTTATACAGCATTTGGCCGTGCTCATGCCATGTTAGCTTATTATTAATGGTGACACCTAAGTACTTCTATGCCTCCACTTTGTCCACATTTTGATTTTTTATGTTGAGATCTGTAATCTGGTGCTTCCCCCTCCTGAAATCAACAATCATTTCTTTTATTTTTGAGACATGCAACTGGAGAAATTTTTCATCGCACCAATTGATAAAGCTCGTCACTAAGTTGTGGTATAGGCCTTCTCCTTTAGATATTAAGCCAACAATGGTGGTATCATCAGCAAATTTTAAGATTGGAAGGGTGTCGCTTGAGCTTTGAATATCATTTGTATATATTGGATACAGTACATGAGAGAGAACACAGCCTTGTGGTGCCCCGGTGCTTGTTTCTCTGGTTAGAGATACTTGGTTATTTACTTTGACATATTGTGGTCGATTTGTTAAAAAGTTCAGTATCCAAGCCTGAATATTTAAATTTACACCTAACGAGGAAAGTTTCTTTATCATTAGGTGTGGTTGGATAGTGTTAAATGCTGATGAGAAGTCTAAGAAAAGCACTCTGGAATATGTTTTAGGACTTTCTAGGTGATGGTAAAGTCTCTCCAACAATAGTAAGATTGCGTCCTCTGTACTTCTGTTAGAAGATGTGAAAGGAAAACAACTACTAAATTCAAAATTATCTAACAAATATATAGACCAAGTAATGTTTATAGATGGATATGAATTTTTTAAATTAATGTGAACCATTGAATGCCATCTTCCATGATCACAACGTATGTCTCCTATAATGATATATGACAAAACAAAACAACATTGATAATATAATATATAAAAAAATAATATTTTTAATTTTGAGGCTTTACTTCAAAGGTCATTCAGTCCTTGTGTGCTGATTGGTGCTTGAGACAATAGCCAAGAAACACACTCAAGTTTATCAGCAGCATCTGATCATTGGATCTGCCAGCAGAGGTAAGTTTCAGGAAAAGCTAACTCGTTTATATTCCAGGAAAAGTTACTTACAATTATAAAGATAAGAAATCCATTCCCTGACAGATTATAGTGCTTTAAACTTAACATAATTTGGTTTGATTAAATGATTTGGATGTGTTGTGCAATGATAGCTTAAAATTTTTAATTATTTTTCTTTTTTTCCAAGAAAGGCACCAAATCTCACTGTGTCATGGAATGTGCGGAAGGAAATAGTGCATCTATGGATGAACGCCTTTTAAGTCACCAGGAGCAGCTTTCAAGGCCATTAGATAATCAAATACTGAAGCTACATAGCAAAGAGGAAGCTGCTCCCTGTAACCATCAAGTACAAAGTGACCCTCAGATTCCAGACCCGTGCAAACAGTATGATGTGCATGAGATACCTAAAAAACCTATTAAACAACTAACACAGGAAGAAAGAGATTATTGGCAACAACGTTTACCACGTGGGTTTCAATTTTATCTGGAGCGTTTAGCACGAGGTGTCATCCGAAACCAGCCAGAGAACATCAAAGAGTTTGCTGCAGGCTATCTGGAAGAACTTCTTGTTAGCAGAAATGGTAAAGTTATTTATGGTAAAAATAAAAGGTGCTTAAAACATAAGACGTAAGAAAGGCTGTACTTGGTATAAAGACCTTATCTGAAACAGTGGTAGAGCCTAAAAAGAATGGTAGATTTGGTGGTCAGGCATTTTAGTTAACATGCTCAACACAGACACACTTCTCCTCTATTCATCCCAAACAGTACAAACTTCCCTTTCAACCCCCAAACATGCACACACACCACTTCTTTATTCATTTCAACACACACAAACATCTTTCCTTTACTCCCTCAAACACTCACTTCTCCCTTATAACCCCCAATAAAACATCTCCTCTTCCACACCTCCCAAATCTCACACCTCTACATGTACACATCCAACACAAACACACACACCCCACCCCTATTCACTTCCAACACACATAAATCTTCTCTTTCACCTCCCACACATGCACCTCTCCTTGATTCAATCAAATTACACACACCTCTGCTTTATTCACCCTCTAACCAAAAATCTCTACTCTGTCAACAACCCCACCCCCAAATCCACACAGACTCAACTATAATTACTTTTATTCCCTTTCTTTCAAAGAACTATTTCTTTTTCACTGGTACTTGATGTTGAAATTTTAAATTCATTACCCTTATAATAAGGACAATGTTCTGTGTGAAACCACATTTGACAATTGTCTTGTAAAAAATCTCTTTCTGATTTGTCATGTTACAGCGGAACTGTGGAAACTCCCTATAGAGTCCTATTTTACAAAACTGTATAAGAAGAAAACTTTGAAATCGCCCTGGCAACCAAAGAGGCGAAATGTAGGAAGATCACCAGCAGAACAATCTCCCGTCTCTGCAACTGTGTTCCCTGATTTTGTTCCTGAAGGTAAAAGTCCTTTTTTTTCTTCTTTCTTTTTTTTTTTTTACAAATAAATTTTCAGATACTTTTTTTACATTATGTTATATTTTAAAAATAAAATCTGCACTTTGTGCGTTGTTAATGGTCTTGCTTCCTATAGATTAAACAGCAGGGTACTTTACGCTGGTTGCAAGCTGACACCTTGCAACACAGACTTAACATGTCTTTGGGAGCCACTTCCCACTGGTCCTAACTAAGTGCCGGTAATGAAGCGATACGGAGGCAAGTATTTTTCCTAGAGGAAAAGGGAAGAAAAAGAAACTCTACAGACTGGTTTGGGGAATTGCTGTAATGTCACAATTAACAGCAAGCCGATAACATTTAAAAGATGAGCAGGTGGCTGCCTAAAAACTACCCCTGTTGGGACAAAGCCATGAATTCAGTTTTTTTACACTGACTCTTTAACCAGTGACATATGATCCGGAACTTTAAAAAAACAAAACTATTGTACTGGTACCTAGAACTTGAATGATGTGTGAAAAGAGAGATCCTCTTGTAGGGATGCTGTACATAAATGTGCATTCTGACATTATCAAAGATCCTGGCACTGAATAGAATTTGAAAACTTGGTGAGTTTTTAAAATGGAAACTTAAAAAAAAAATTGTTACTATTTTTTCACTGGAGCCATAAATACAGCATAAAGTTATTATTGTATTTACTTCAGTCTTATTAATTTTTAAAAAATAATAGACATCATTGTATTTGTAACCTTGCAGAAAATCTACCCATCTCAACAGTTGCGAACCAGCCAGTGAACTCTGTTATTGGAACGGCCTTTTCATGTGCTTATAAGAAAGGTGAAACACTTATTAAGTAACGCTTGTCCTGTCTTAACATAAGAAAACACGTAACAGATCTTTGAGTCCATGCTGAACACTTACTTTCTCAACCTTAATAATGCACAATTTTTACTCCTGAGATGGATTAATAAATAGTTTGGTGTTTCTTGATTTCCAGAAAATTATTTTACCCAAGAGTTGATTAGTGCATGCGAGTCCAATGAAATTTTGACAGCTGATGACTGCCACAGCGCTCTGGAGGAATCTCTAATCATCCAAGGTCCCAACACGTCACAAACTACGAACAGCACCAGCTTTGAGACGGCAGAGGAAACATTGTCTGTTTTAGTAGGCTCAGAGCTTGACATGAACAGAATTCAGGAAAGTAAAAAGATACTTGTTTTTTTACCAATGCAATCTGAAGAAGCAGAAAAGAAGATAAGGAAATATGCGATGGAAAATGCTTACCCAAGTAGCCCTGTTGATGGTATTGAATATTCTGATTTGAGCCCTTCAGATGAGGTCGGTGGGAATCCTGAAAAAGTGCCCCTGACCAATGCTGTACTCTTTAATACAACTATAAATAATAATAAGCCTGTTTATTCAGAGACCAAACTGAATGAAGAGTCAGAGCAGTTGATGGCCCAAGGAAAGGATTCTATGATTAAACCAACTGTTTACGGGAGAGCAGACTCAAGCTCTGCAGCAAAATGTGAAGATGATTTACCGCACGTGAGTGACATGTACATTTCCAGATTCAGCAACATTGATGGAGCTCTGCACCAAACCAAGTATTTCCTAAATGGACTTCCGAAAGAAGAGGAATCCATTGGCCCCTTTCAAGATTCAGGATTGAGAACGGCTGGGCTGGATGGAGATTCAGAGATACCACGTTGTCTAGGCAGCGCCGTTAACCTTTCATGTGACACACATGGAAAAACTGCGGGCCTTTAGCATTCATTAACAACACCTTATCAAGAGACAGAGTTAGTGAATGCCAAAGGTAATCAAAACCCTGACAGCACCATTCAAGAAGTGAGTCGAATTTGTCATACTGAATCTGACCTGGAATATAAATTTTCTCAGTCCTGTGAAAGGCCCGAAGACGAGAAAAATTGCAGGTCAGAAAAAGAGGAAAAGGAAATGCAAATATTTCAGTCTGTTGACTCCTCTAAGAAAGAAGATGAAGATTCAATAGGGGAGGACATTCAAGCTCGTTTCCGAGCCGAATCTGACATCTACTTCATGCCAATCAGGTCTGAAGGATTTCTCAACGAGTTGAGCTTAGAGAATGGAGCAACACAACACCACAGCAACCTTGACATTCAAGCAGATGGCAAATCTCAGAGCTCATTGGATGTCACCAGCATTCAGATTCCTGGAGCACCTCCGACTCATTCCCATAACAACTGTGAACATCCTACGATACCCATGCCTGAAGAGGTCCTGCATTTGCCTGTCTGCGTCAGCCTGGAACCCACAGGGAGCTTCAACTGTAATATTTCCAAGGAAGGTTTGAAAGACATTCAATCAGTCGGCGATCCAGGTGTCCAAGGATCTGATGCACAAACAAATCAAGGCGTTAAGGAATGTGATAATGAAATTCAAGCTGAACAAAAGACCACCCTGCAACGGGTTGAGAGTCATACCCATGTGGGGTCTAATAATGCACAGGTGGAAACGAAGGTGGAAATAGTTTGCAATCACCTGGATAAAGACGGGAAGTCCAACATGGAGGCTGCCATCTTTATAGCCAGCTCTTACATCTCAGAACTCAAGAGAGTGGCTCTAAACATTGAAAGGATTTTGGATGAACAGAATCATAAGAATTCAGACAAGGGGTTGGTCAGCTTAGACGATATAAAAAAGAGAAAGAAAGCTGGAGCACAAGAAGATTTGAATCCTGATCAAAATGAACAGCCAAATGTAGAGCCATCGCCAGTTTTGATTGAAGAATTGTCTGACAAGGTCTTAAACATGTGCGAAGATAACCTAAACCAGGAAAGTGTGGAATGCACAATGGGAGACTTTGTTTTTAAAGTCAAGCCCACGAGTATGAGTCATGATGGGGACACCAGAATAACTTGCGAGAAAAAGACCCATCAGGCATGTGAAGCCCGCCCACCGAGGGAAGAATTGACTATAAAAAGCACAGAGTTGAACAGAGGCTTGAAATCATTCTCAGGCACGTTACTGGAGATTCCCGCTGATACTAACAATAACCAGTTTTCCTGTGGAGACATTGCCTACAGGAATAAAGAAGTCAAGTCTGATCCATTCAACAGGAATGCTGCTTTAATATCAAATCAAAACAATAATGGAAATTTTTTAGGCACTGTTGATTCTAAAAAAATACCGGAGCAACTCATTTTCTCGCCTGTTGGTAAAGACTGTTTAAATTATCTCAAGGAAACGGCTTCAGAGACGCTGAAGCCAGATGGCAGTGACACCTTCTGTGTTACCAAAGAGTCCAAGAAAACATGGAGAGATCATGACCCTTCCTGCAACTCCAGCAGCAACAACTCGCAGACCATTGGCAGGAAGGCCAAACCGCTGTATGCCAACCAGGAAGCCATCAGCTATCACGACAACTGTAACTACTCTACCAATAACCTGATCAGAGACCAGTCTCACGAAGAATGTCTGCCGAGTGAAACAACAGGTACAAGAGGCGGCTTACCCACCCCGGAGTTGACAGCCTTACATTTCAAAAGACAACAGAACTGCCCGTCCGAGAAAGATAAAGACGGGGAACAATTTAAAAACAGATATTATCAACCTGCTGCTAAACAAATGCCCAGCAAAAGCACACACCGTTGTAATAAATCTGTTTTTTGCAAAGAAGGAATGAAAGGAGTTTGCCAAAAAGAAAAGGACCATAAAGAAATTGACCAGAAAGACAGAGATAATGAAAATCATCATCAAGAATGTCAAAAAAATGGTAGTGAGAATAAAAAATCTGACTTGCCAAAAACCTCAGAGGATTCTGAAAGGTGTCAGTCATTCCAGAAATTTTCTCCTAAGCCAATGACATGTGACGAGCAATGTCCTTGTGACCAGGATGACAAAGATGTGACTAAGCATAGCCACGCTGCTGCCACCTATACAAGCAAACCAAGAGGGATCAGCTTGCAAGAAACGGCTTCAAAGCTTATGGCTAAAGCCAAAGACCACAAGGAAAACAAAGATTTAAAAAGCCCACCAAAAATCTTGGAAATCGACATTGCCGCCTTGAATGTCCCTGATTACCTTCCCAAAATTTTAAAGAAAGAATTTCCCTTAAGACTTCACGCTTTCCAGGAAGAGTATAACCTGTCCTCGACGTACGTGCCAGAAGTTACCCGTCAGATAACTGTGCAGAGTCCAGAGGAGAACATGATTGTCCACACAATACACACACGTCCCAACCCGCTCCAACCAGAATTCAGGGGAGACTTTGAAATCGCTAGTCTGAAGAAAAGGATCTATCTTGGAGAGAAAGATGGATTCTATCCTTCTGAGGGAACCAGGCGACTTATATGTGAGACAGAATGCTTCTCAACAAAAGACCCGAAGACGCAAAATTTGGTTTTAGAAAATGGAACGCTGAAAGCTTCCAAGGCAAACGTCCAGACAAAGCCAGGAAAGAGAAAGAAAACTATCAAGAGAATACAGGAAGCGGTTAAACCCATTCAGAATGATGTCGGTGAACCGACCGGCATCTCAAAGGTTGTTGTTGATGTAGCCAAAGACAAAGAACCGCAGTGGTTCAATAAAGATTATGTTCAACTTGTTGGGGACGTCATATTGATAGGCTCGGGGAAGACCAGGAGCATAGAGCAAATCTTTGGGCCTCTTCAGGAAGGCGATGGGTCAAATAACAGCTCCAATACTTCAGCTGGCTTCAAGTCAGGCTCTCATTCTCTGCATATTGCCGACAATAATTTCACGATGGAAAGCAATGATGGCAGTTTTAACACTTCGAAATGGAGATCGTTGCATTTGAGAAATGTCACTTATGAGAACAATAACAACAATAATATCCACTCAATTGAAAGTAGTCCAACATCAGCTTGTTGTAAAGAGCCTGATTACCTCTGCGATCATTTTGAACTGGTGTCGCACGACAGAGTCACCACTGAAACTGGTTATAAAGTGGTGCGCATGGGAAGCAACTCCAGTAATTCCCCTTGTCACATGAACCCCCAGACCGAAAACCTGTCAAAAAATATTCTTCAAGACACAAGTTTTAATTCACGCAGTCTACACCACAGAGATTTAAAATGGCAGCTATCAAATATTTCAACTCGGAGCAAGGATTTCATCAGTTATGATTCTAATAACAACAGTACGGGTAAGCTGTCTGATGTGGACGATGCCACCCTGCAAGATATCGACCAGATCCCTACTGAACAAACACCAGCAGAATCCAGGAAGGCCAAGAGTTCAAGGAGGTCCAGACCGAACTCTCCCAACAAAAAAACTTTCCGAGGGAGCTGCCCGGATTGTGAACCTGCCAAGCCAGGGGATGCTTCGGAGAAAGTTTTTGATGATTTCCAGAACCAAGTTGAGCCCACGGACATCAATGTTTCTGAAGTGGCACAGACTGGATCATCGTTAGCACTCAGGAAAAATCTGCTGCCACAAAGGTCTTTGGCAGAGAGGACTCACCTGAAAGGACACAAGTTGTGGAATCCCTGTAGCTGTGACCCACCAAGGCCCCGTGTCATCCCACAGTATGCTGAATGTGGTGTCCAGCTTAACATTGGGGATGTTTGTCCAAGTGCAGGCTCACAAGTCGGAGATTCGGGACTCTATAAAACCTACACTGGCCACATTGTCCGCGAAGACCAAGTGGCAATGTGCGAGTGTCAGATCAAACGCAAGCAAAGACCACTGCGCGATTTTGACATGCAAGTGTCAGCTGAAGACATCTGTCCAAGCAGTGACGCCCAAACAGGGTCATCCCTATTGCTCCTAGAGCCATTTAAAAGATCCACACAGCAAGCTGCGCCCATAAATTACAACGATGGCCAAGAACACACTTTAAAAGGTCACATTCTTAAGGAAAACTGTGAATATTCTGCTCCCTATCACTGCACTGAACAAGTGGAAGCACGGGAAATTGAAACTCAAGTCACAGCTATTGAAATAAATCCCTGCGATGAGGTACAAACCGGGGACTCGTTGATGATGACTGAGCCGTTTCCTCCAGTCAAGCCGACGCTCAGTGACGATGAGTCTGGTGATGGTGACGTGACGTGGGCAGATCTGAGTATTTACGACATGACACCCGAGCACAGGAGTGTCAATGCCTACTATAAACGTTTTGATGATTACCCTGGTGTTGATAAGGACTATGTGATATACCCTTCACAGTACAAGCCACCCGCAAAGGTGGCAAGCAAGACTAGACCACCTGTTGGCCCAACTCCTCAGATAGTGGTCCAGCTGTCTGAAGACAAGCTCGGTAAAATGCAGATGACAGGTGGGGATGTGGCTCCTTACCGAATAGATGAGGACCAACTCAGCTACGACGGAAGTGTTAAAGACTATGTGGATAAAGAAAATTTAACAAAAGATGGCAAACACTTTGATGATGATGACTATAAGAACTATGTCAAGGAAGTTTATAAAAAGCCAGAGGATGTGAGGGACCATGAACAAGGAGAATTTAGGTAAACATTTGACTGTTTGTTTTTAGGTTGGTGTGAGTTGGGGGAAACGGACCAGAATAGTATTATGTGCATCTAACCATTTAGTTTACAAGTTGATTTAATAAAGGACAGTGGCGACAAGAGAAAATATTTCTCAATATAGAAAGTGGTTTCCCTTTGTGCATGGCATGTAATCTAATCTCATAAAGGAAAACAGTGGCCTGAGCTCTGGTGCACAATAACTCACAGGTCACATGCTTCACAATACCCTTTCTTCCCTTAGAGGGTTCGCAGCTCACCCAGTGCAACTGCCACAGCGCTCACTCTACTAATTGCATAGCTTCCTAAGGGCTTGGAATGGACACAAATTAACTAGCATTTAATTTGACTCCTAGCGCCTCGTCCCCCCTTGTCACCACTCACAAAGTTTGATTTCTGATAAAAATTCCTTTCAAAATTTTACAATGGTTCATTTCCTGGTCTAACTTTCTATTCAACCTCCTTTATTATTTTATTTCATACTTAAAAGTTATCACATAAAATGTTTCATATTTCATACTTAAAAGTTATTACATAAAATATATTTAGGAGCTTTAAATTTATTTGTAAACAAATTAATGTGATGCAAAAAAAAAAAAAAAAAAAAAAACTATTGAGGTTCCACATTGTAAGGAAAATAATATCATATATACTTCTCTTAAATTGATGGTTCATAACTAGTTGACAGATGTAATCATTGGCGATAATTGTTTCAGTCTCAATTTATAAGTTCAGTCTCAATTTATAAGTTAAACAGGAAGAATTGGTCGCATCAAAAAGTTGATTTCTACTGCCCCCCAGATGGAGAAGTTTCAATATTTTAAAGTATTATTTAGAGTTTAAGTTCAACTCTTTCTATTGATCTTATTTTCAGAAATGTACCAAGGAGATATGAATCCTTAACTATAACATCATATGAGAAACAAACAGTTGGTAAGAAATATTGATTTTATTCAAAAAATTGGTTATCTTGCTAATATAACAGTTTAAATGGCGATTAAAATCATCCTGTTAAATTTATGTTAACGTGATTGCCATAGCGGAATCGCTCAGTTTACAGACTTAGTTTCAGAAAAAGAAATCAAGTGTAAAGAGTTAAGGGACGTAATCTCTATTATTATCTAACCTATTCCTTGGTTATATAATTTTTCTGGTTTAATTTTGGGACCTTTTATACTCCATGTAGTGATTGATTGTTGAGAAATGTGACATCAAGCCATAGTAACTGCATCTCATTAAACTGTATTTATCCTAATTTGTAAATTTTCGTCTAGATCAACAGTAATAATTCAGTTTGCATGGAAATCTTGATGTGGATTTTAAACTTATTATCACACTTGAAATACTGTAACATATGATACTTTTGAAAAAAAAAAAAAATTGAATGGCTTTTATCCAAAAAAAAAATGTCGCTGTTCAAATCAAAATTTAAATTTGTTTTAAGTTAAAACTAACTTATATTTTTAAAACTAACTTATAACAATGGGTCAACATTTCTAACAAGTGACGTTTCCCCTTAATTATAGTAAACTTTTTTATTTGTATCCTAGAACCAGTGCGTGGTCCTTTGAGAAAGAAATACAGCAATTTTGGAGCAGGTAAAGCGTTCAAAGACATGAAGGAAGACGGAGAAGAGGAGGAGGAAGAAGGAGAGGCAAATGGTGAAGCCAATGGTGAAGCCAAAGGGACTGCTGGGCACAGTCCCTACAAGAGGAAACGCCGTATTACAGTCGGCCCAAGTGTCTCGACACAAACTTTAAACACCCCAAGCCACACGCACAAGACTGGGTTTTATTAATTCAAGCTTATCTTTTAAATAGAGGAATTAATAATTTCAAGCCCAGGTTTTACATCTCTCCTATTTTATGCATCACTATAGAGGCTGAATATACTTTGCCGTTGTTTTTTTTTTCTCTCCATATTTTTTAATTTTACTTTAAAACATATAATTTTTTTTTTATAACAAGGGAAATTAGAGAATATTTGTCAAATGAAGATCTAAAGATAAAATAAATAATGCACTTCTGGCTAAATTCCATATCTTTTTTGAGCTGTTCAATTATTTCAAATGTTTTGAAATTGTGTTCAGGTATTTTGTCTTACTTGTTGTGTGCATCTTATATTTATATGACTATACTCTTTTTTTTTTTTAAAAAGGGAGGCCTAAATGTGTACCATTAAGATCTCATTGATCCTGAGTATAGAAATATTTGGGATTTACCCTTAGATATGCAGCTCAAATAAAATTTTAAAAAGAAAATGATCATGAGTGATCTTCTAAATTATAATGAAATTTGTCTTACAAAAGCTCTTACATTAAAAATAAATTACTTTAAGCAGATTTGTGCTGAATTTTTATGCAATTTTGGTTTTTGGTGCTTTCATCTACCATCTTGATAATGAGTTTATTGTTGATGCTTTTTTCTACCAATTTATTCCTTCCTTTTATCATTTGCGCCATTGCACTTTCTGTGAAAAATTATTTCATTTGCAGTCCCCATTTTTTGGTTAGTCACACTACACTAGTGCCCGAGTCCCAGTTTATGTCGATGATCAATTAAGTCACCTCACTAGAGGGACCCAAATTATGGTGTCAATTTAGCCACCCCCCACCAATGGGCCCCAAATTATGGTGTCAATTTAGCCACCCCTACCAGTGGGCTCCAAATTATGTTGTCAATTTAGCAAACCCCCCTACCATTGGGCCCCAAATTATGTTGTCAATTTAGTCACCCCCCACCAGTGGGCCCCAAATTGTGGTGTCAATTTAGCCACTTCCCACCAGTGGGCCCCAAATTATGGTGTCAATTTAGTCACCCCCGCCTCCAGTGGACCCCAGTTTATGAGAGACAATTTAGCCACCCCAATATGGGACCCCCAGAACCCAGTTTGTTGCGAGGGTCAGTTATCTGAAGACGCCAATCGAAGGAGAACCAAAAATACAGATTTAAAAATACCCAAATTAATTCAATGTTTCTTCCTTACAAAAAAAATAAATTACTACCGGTCCTGAAACATTTCAACGCCCAGCAACCCTAATCAGACATTTGGCAAACACAAAATAAAAATGTGCTAAAACTGTGACCTACTGCAAGCTCTTTGCAACAGGTCTATCATTTAAAGGAAGCTACTTACTAATGTTAATAAATCGATCAACTTCAATGAAGCCTGCTGCAAATTCCCACCAGTGCCGCCGCTTGTGGGTGGAGGGTGGCCTGTAACCCATGTGGCTGCATTGTGAAGTGGTGTAGCTAGAGTTAGTTGGTGCCAACTAAAAATTTTTACCCCCCCCCCTCCCCAACCACGAAAAAGCTGCAGTTGACCGAAAATGCCACCCCTCTATTCAGTGACGGAAAATGACGACCCTCCCCTCCCCCCACCTTGTGCCTTGGTGGGGAAAACTATCAATGAGCTGAGTTTAGATAAGCTGAACTTAGATGAGCTGAACTGAACTTAACTTAACTTAACTGAACTGCACTGAAATGAACTGAACTGCACTGAACTTAACATGCCGCCGCTTGTGGGTGGAGGGTGGCCTGTAACCCATGTGGCTGCATTGTGAAGTGGTGTAGCTAGAGTTAGTTGGTGCCAACTAAAAATTTTTACCCCCCCCCCCTCCCCAACCACGAAAAAGCTGCAGTTGACCGAAAATGCCACCCCTCTATTCAGTGACGGAAAATGACGACCCTCCCCTCCCCCCACCTTGTGCCTTGGTGGGGAAAACTATCAACTTTGAATTGAATGCAGGGGGTGGGTGGGGGGCTAAAACCGAAAAGTGTCAGGGGAACTACAAAAGCCACGCGAAGACTCTGCTTCCCACGTTACACACTGATTCTTCCACATCAATTTGATTTCCGGGATTTCCCTATCAATACATTAAAAAAAAAATAAATTATGAGGCGCGTCGTCCATTGTAAAATAAATAACAACAGCCAGAAGTCGTGACCCCTCTGCTGACAAACGCCTGGCAGCACTTACTGTGAGGAAATTTACCCTGGAACATGTTCTAGACGTGAAACAAAGACGACGAAACCCCGTACGGGGGGGTCACAAAAATAGAACTGGCCCACATGTAAGTGAAGTGAGGTGCTCTCTCAAATTAGGCGTCAGCAGAGACCAGGCGAAGACGACTGAACCGTTTTTGTCAAATCTCCATGTGATTCAAATCCGAATGCTGGAGATGGATAGAACTAATTCGGCTAAATCACGTTATTAATGACTTCTACCGGTTATTTTCGGGAACTTGGCTTTCGTGTAGATGACCCCCAGTGTTTAAAACTCAGTCTTGGTTCGACCGCTGCATCATATTCTTTAGAAATTAGAATAAAATCAACCAGGCAGTAGCGCTTCTACCCCCACAACAGAGTTAATTCCGTGGAACAGCTTTCAAGCCTTTAAATTTAAATACCCGATCCCACCATTCGTTCTTCAAAATGGAAAACCAAGATAGGCAGCGTCTGGTCAGGAGAGAATCCAGTGTAAAGATGCCTCGTAAGCCCAGGCCTGAATCCCCCAACAGGGGGAAAAGTTTCAACCGAGAAAGCAGCGATATCCCGGCCATGGCCGACCCACCGGCCGATTCAATATTCTGTCCCGACGGATGCAAGTCTAACGGTCCAGGAAGGAGTATTTTCGACCCATGCGCAGAGCCCCGGAAACAAGTCGTGGGGGATGGGAAGGTGGAGGCTTTCATGAACCAAGTCAAGGCGACAGACATCACCCAGCCATGCGCCACGCAGACGTCGCTTTCCCTGAGGGAGAGGAGCTCGGAACTGCCGAGGAGAAACCGGGACAGAATCACCCAGAAAACTGGTCGAAAGTCGTGGGACTCGTGCTGCGAGCCCCCAAGGCCGTACTGCAGGAGCGACAAAGAGTCGGTGGCCCAAAGCGACGGACAGACGCAGGTGGATCCACGAGACATTGATTCCTGTGATTCCGTCCAGACGGGTCCCTCCCTGATCGCCGAAGGACCATTTTGCAGATACGATTACAAGCTTAGAAAGTGCAAACATTATCCAGCAGATACCAGTCGGCAGTGCGAGTGTATCAAATCAGAGCAAGTGTATCCCCTCGGTGTTAGGTGAGACATTCCCATAGTTACTTTAAAAACTTTTTTTTTTTTTTAAAGTAGCGGCGCACCTAGGGGTTGCCACAGGAGGCACTTTTTAACATATATATTTATATATGTTTGTCTAAGGGGAGCAAGATTTCCAAACGTTAGACCTCAGTTAAGAATCGAATCTTCAGTGTGTTGGTGAAATTAAAATCGTATAGCTGAAGCCGTTGTGACCAGGGCCGTCTTAACAGCATCGGTGACAAAGTAAATCACTGAGGCCCCCCCCCCCTCCCCCCAAATTTCTCTCACCTATTCAAGAAATTTTTAGGAAAAGCATTAGGGGCGTTATGAACAATGTCTGTTTTAGACAATTTCGTTGGGGGCACGTGGGTGGGGTGGGGGGGGGTTACATCTCATCAATTTACTTAATCACATTCACCCCCCTCCCTCAAAAAAAAAAAAATATAAATAAAAATTAATTAATTAAATCGACAAATTTTAGCTTAAAGCGGGTACCAAAAGGGAAATGGAAATGCTTTGAAACTCAAGTAACGTGTGCACAAAAACTGGGGAAACCTGCTCCTGAAAAGTCTTTTAAAGAAAATTAAATTGCCTAAAGATCTTTCAAGATCCATTAAAAATGTGTGTAAATCGATAACGATATCCCTATAAACCTTGAGGCTCCCTAGACAAATTAAAATTAATGACAAATTGAAAGCGTTGAAGTTGCAATGTGTTGGTATTTAAAAAAAAAAATAATTAAAAATCCTTTCTATAACAACAGGGACGAAGGTAGGAGTGTTAAACAGCAAGTGGAGGCAACCGACATTAAAATCTCAGAGGATGTTCAAACAGGCCGCTCTCTCAGCCGGCTGGACGATCAATGCAAGCCTGGTGACGTCATCATTTACGGGGATCCCCGGCCGAAATCCATCACGTCAGCCCGAAGCAGCTACCCTCATAGAGATGACTTTCTTCCCTGCCAATGCCCAAGTCAGAAAAGTCCGTCTGTTTACGCCAGCGTCGGCAATCTTGCGGATGCTTTGCAGATCTCCAGCAGTAAAATCATCCAAACGGACAAGTGCCTAGACCACCGCTGTCTGGCGGCCAAAAAGTACAAGAACCACGAGTGGGACGAGTGCCACGAGTGTCGCGGTACGACTTACGGGTCAGGGAAGAAGCGGAACGTCTGCTTGCAAGTGAGAAGCCTGGACATCAACGGGTGTGACGAGACGCAAACGGGGTCGTCCCTGGCGTTGAACGAGGCATTCGCCAGAAAGCGCGAGCAGTGCAAGACAGAGCCTAAAGCAGGGGACTACGTCTTGTATGGGAGGGTGAAGGAGATCTGGGACGACTGCAACTGTCTCCAGCCGAGACGGGCGGAGAAAGCTAAATTGGAGGACCAGACAACGCAAGTCTGCGTTACAAATCTAACGGTCACAGATGGCATCCAAACCTCAAGCAATGCAAAGTCCGCTTGCAAACGGCAATTCTGAGCTTTTAATTTCAAAATTGTTTCATTACAAAAAAATAAATTACAAAAAAATAGAAATCGGAGCTCGCTAAAACCAGTGGGGCTGTACAGGAAGTACGTCAAGCTATTTTCGTGACATTTTTACCCCCCTTGCCCCCAAGTACGTCACACGTTCGAACCACACAATTGTTTAAAAATATATATATTGAAATATAATCTAAAACGCACGTCTCTATTAAAGTATTAGATTTATAACAGTTTATATCTTCTGTCAGAGTGCATCCATCCTTCACAACAGAAAGTTAAGCATCACTGTCAATTTCAGGTTTTATAATATTAATTATATGCATGACTATTACTATTTTTTTAACACACTGACGTCACACGATTTTTTTAAAACCCGGGGGGGGGGGGGGGGGGGGGGGGGGGGGGGGGGGAGAAGAGAGAATCACATCTTATAAGACACCCTCCCTGCTCTGTGCCGTTCTAGGGAGCGCCATGTACTTCATGGACGGCCCCAGTGGATTGTTTCAGCTCGTTTGAGAGAGGTTGCGTTGATCACCAAAGGCTCAGCAAACAACCAGTACATTTTCACGCTTATTTCATAAGTTATAGATGGATGACGTGCGTATTTGAAATGTTCTCAGAACCATTGAGAAAAATCTTCAAACAGCCCGAATAAAGATAAGTCTGATAAGACATCTCTTTACATTTGGTCCTGGCTGATGGCCCAAGCCTGATAAGACATCTCTTTTCATTTGGTCCTGGCTGATGGCCCCCCAAAAGCTGCTTGAGGATTCTTCATGGGGCCCATTTGTTTTAACTTTCTAGTGCAGCCTTTGCACTAGGCCATGGCCTTTCAGTAGTACTTTCACCAGAATAACTTATGAACAATGCAAATCCAAGAATTCTACACTGATTGTGGTGACATAAAAATTAAAAGGGCCAACCGGATTCGGTGTAAAACCATCCTGGAAGGAAATGTAACTAAAAATGGTCTTGACAGCCCATGCTGGCATAACAGTAACACATGCCGTATAACAGTAACACATGCCACATCACAATAAAAGAAATAAATCCACTAGAAAACCTGTCAAGTTAATATTCTTTATTAAGGGGCATAAAATTATGTATATGCTATTTACAAATGTTCAATTGAATGGATTAAAACGAATCAAATAACAGATCAGACTATATGTACAAACACTATTATGGCTGACACTTAGGTAATATTACAGTATGATACAAGATAGCACACCCTTCCCCTCATATACACAATAAATACATGTAAAAACAGTGTCCACCTTCATACGTCCAACAAATGTATGAAGATCAAACATGGAATATTGCAGAGCTTGAACAATGCAATACAGCAAACATTATCATTAGGTGGTGTGACCACTAACTAACTGAAAGCTCTTTTTTTTTTTATATCTCTTTAATTATAATTATATATAGTATAGCACAAGAACTGACATAGTAAATTTACTCCAGAGAAATACAATACCATAGTTTGATGTGTTTCCGCACCAGGTCCCGCTACTGTAAACTTTACTTGGCAGACTTTAAAAAAAATGTCAGTGGACGTTAAATAAGAACAAAGTTACCCCAACTGAATATCAAATGTGAATGTTGGTCAATCATTTGTAAAAAAAGAGGTTTAGTGGTGCATAGATTTGTTTTAAAAAAAAGTTAAATAAAAGATGATGAAATTTAAAAAAAGGAAATTTTCACAATCCTTAGATATAATTTATAAAGAAGGGTAAGCATAGGCCAGTCTGCGTCTTGTTGGCAGAAGTATGCGGTCAACCAAAAGTAAGAAATAAAATTGACTGACGGCATCAATGAAAAAATCAGAGAAACAAAGAAAAAACATACCAACATTGACCATTTATCAGAATCTTTTTGACTTCTGGTTTAAATCTTTTTGTTAATACAGTAGATTTATATTATATTATAGATACCGGTATATAGTGTTTAAAATGGTAGGGACTAAAAATTATGGTTAAATTAAATGCATTCTTTAATTTTGCAGAAAGGCTGAGGGAACACAAAAAAAAAAAAATAATTATGATACAGATGTAAAATTAAAATGTAGATGTAAAGAAAAAGCTTAAAAAAATAAATTTACCTGCTTGCTTCTGACTATTGAAAATGATATTTTGTTATCATTTCTATCTCTAAATGTGTTTGGTACAAATCAAAGTCAAACCTAATATGAAAATTGACACAAAGTAAACAATTAAATTGTACAACTATATCATATAACCTTGAAAATGAACCATTACAGTATATATTTATTATATTAGTCATACAAATGGACCATAACTATATATATATATATATATATATANATAAAAACATGTACATATATATATAATTTTAGTCACTCCTTATGGACCATCACTGCATACATATATTTTTATATATAGTTCTACAGTTACACATGATCTGATATGTAATCTTCTGTCAAGAAATGAGATATGAATCGTATAAAAATATGATTTGTTATTTTGTGAACTTTTGTTTTACCTCCATCATCTACAACAAGGGAAAAAATGTGACAGGGTGGCGAGAAATAACAAGAAAAGAAATTAAGCCATGGTCATTGGCATTAATTTATAGCAAAGATGCACCTCTCCCGTAAACAGTGACAGCAGCACATGTTTTTCTTTGTAGTAAATAACTGCCACCTTGGTGCACATAAGGCAAAGGATTAAAAGCTGTAGCAAACCAATAAACATCTAAACCAAATGTTGCTTATTAACACCCCCCTCCCCTCAACAATAATAAAAAAAATTTAAAAAAATAAAGTTGTCAAATTTGTGTCCACTTCATATGATAATTAATAGCTTGTTGGCCCATTGGCTGTTCATGAGTTAGTAGATCACCAGTTTAACTTTCCCTTATTTCAGATTCTTCCCTTGTTCACCCTAATATTTCATAACAAAGATTAAAATTTTTTTTTAATGAATGTTAAAAGCTGTAGCAAACCAATAAACATCTAAACCAAATGTTGCTTATTAACACCCCCCTCCCCTCAACAATAATAAAAAACATTTAAAAAAATAAAGTTGTCAAATTTGTGTCCACTTCATATGATAATTAATAGCTTGTTGGCCCATTGGCTGTTCATGAGTTAGTAGATCACCAGTTTAACTTTCCCTTAATTCAGATTCTTCCCTTGTTCACCCTAATATTTCATAACAAAGATTAACTTTTTTTTTTAATGAATGTTAACGATATTTGACACATTTAAATCTTTCTGGAAAGCAGTGGCTAGAGACTGAAAATTTTAATGAAAAAAAGTATTGTTGAAAAACTTAAAATGATAACATTTCCTATTCCTGAGACATCACTTAATAATAAGATATATATATTGTATTTATTAAACACAAAAAAAACAAACAAAACAACCCAAAGTTTTTAAAAAATAATTAAAATTGCCCTTTAATAAAATTTGCATGGTAAATTCTTAAGGCAAAACCAACGAATTGCCCTAATCTGTTGACAGTGAAAGATAAGTTTGAAAAAACAAAAAATATCACAAATAATGAATGTTGACAAACCATTCCATTCTTCATTTCTTTCATTAGCAACAAATGCAGCAATAAATGAAGAAACTGCTGAAAGCATTCCACAGTCATGTCAGATTTCCATAATGGCGGAAGTAATTACAAAATATGCCTTCCCGTTTTTTTCATTTTTCTCGGAAAAAGAAATATTTTACATAACATTACACAACAATGTGGCTTCATTTATGAAAGAGCTCGATTTTAAAAGAAATTATCTGAAATGCAAGCCATCAAATCATTCTTTGAAAAAAAAAAACAACTACAACCAATGGTTTCACATTTCATTTAAAAGAAAAAAACAATCGGACTAATCTTACCGACATTTTATTCCTCTTACTTCATGTCATTTAAAAAATTGTTATGAAAGGACCAGTGCTGACAAAAATACTTCAATTTTTTTTCTGTGGAGTTTTTTTGCCTTTTTGTTTTAGTCCAGAAAGAACCATTAATAAAAGACTAAACTTTAATTTGTTAAAATCACACTGATTTGTTCTTTAGGATTTTGTGATCTGAGTTTTTCCTGGTATGTAAACCCCCCCATATTACTAATTAAAACAAAACACCACATAATTCCTTGATGGTTAATTGGCATCCTAAGATTAGTGAGAATCCGAGTGCCAAATCAACTAGCACCAAATTGTGGAGATGAATTTTGAATCATTGTACATATAAGTGTTATCCTTTTAATTTAACCATCCTCAATGAAACAAGCTACTGTATATACGGCAACTAACACTAGCTGCTGTGAAGGCGGCACAAACACTGGCTGGATGAAGAAGTTTAGAACTTGAATATTTTTAAGAGTGTAAATTCTAAAGGTTATAGGAATTTAAAATTTGACTTGATTAAAAGATATGGCTAAATATATTTTAGCATCATGAAGCTTGCTATTCAATCACTGTTTATATGTGGTGAGCAAAATAAATAAAGGGATAAAACTTTGAGAATACATATATAATGAGCACATGAAATAATGTGTGAAAATTACCAGGCTGCACCTCTAAATGTCTCTTTAAAAATGTCACATTTTTTTAAACTTAAAAATTTACTGAATTCACTTGATTTTCATCAGAAAAAGAGCTAAATTTAAATTGCTTTATTCTTTTTCTACAGAAAATCGAGTTGGTTATTACAATAAAATTAAATTGCTATTATGTAACAAAATAAAATCTGCAGTTATAAATCTGATAACAATGAATTAACTGAGAATTTCCTGCATGACTATCTTTCAAGTAAGTTTAATAAAATATGATTATAACTCTTGCTATAATAGAAGAGTTGTTCGTCAGGCATATTTCCATTAATACATCACACTAAAAATCATTGTAACTCGATAAAGTTTAAACCATTAAAATATAAAATTGTTCCCAAATTAAGAATGCGCTCAGCATCAAGTAGGAGAATATATTTTTTTTAAAGAACTGCCCTCTAAAATAATTTGAACTTTGTTAGCAAGACTAGCTAATTATTATTTAGAAATTTAAAAGGCTGCATAACAATATATAATCAGATAACTTTTAAAATTGCTTTCACACCATTAAAAAAAACTGTCAGCCTATATGACCTAGATACTTCATATATAAATTATTATAAAATTGTAGTCTTATTACCCCTGGCTAAAATATCCACACTGTTTTTTAAAACTGCATCACAGACCAATTATTATGATTTAAATGTGTATATATAGTGCAGGTATCATAAAGCAATGACATACACTAATGATTGGCCGGTTCTACTCCAAATTATAATAGCTTTCAGGCTTTGTTTTTAGCACCATCCAAAAATTTCCAAGTCATTTCAAACATGCACATATATATGTTTATGCAAACTTAAATACCTTTTCTGGGTTTTTATCCTTATTTATGAATTATAAGCATGTTTTTGTGTGTGTTATAATCAAGGACCAAATTTTAATGAAAAAGGAAAGCAGTCATATCTGAAAGTAAAACAACTATATTGTTTATTCCAATATTGTGAGGTCACTCAATGACTATTGATTATAATTTAGTTGCTCTCAATCTGTTGCTGTCAACAATGAACAGAGATGGATTTTAAAGACAGGTAGCCGTTGTAAGATTTTGAAAATTTAGCCACGTGGCCAGCTAAATAAGAAACTGAAATATATGATATAGCTATTTGTTTCAAGCATAATAACTACAGAAGATTTGATCAAAGTTAAATAGTCAAAATTCAACTTTTCCTTGTCCGAGATTAAGTCAAATAATTAAATTACTAAAGCAATCAAGAAATCTACACCTTTTAAATTCTTCGGATCCAAAATAAAAAAAAAATGGGTTGACAACTTTAAAATTCTCAAAACATCTTTGTGGTTCTTTTCAAAAAAAAAAAAAAAAAAAAAACATATGGAAAAATATAAAAAAAAAAAAAAAAAAAAAAAAATTACTAAAGCAATAAAGAAATCTACACCTTTTAAATTCTTCGGAACCAAAAAAAAAAAAAAATGGGTTGACAACTTTAAAATTCTCAAAACATCTTTGTGGTTCTTTTCAAAAAAAAAAAAAAAAAGACGTATGGGAAAATTTCAACAAAGTACAAGAGTGTAGTCTAAATTCTAAATATCTTACATTTTGTTCATTGAACAATTTATGTTGATTTTAAACTTATAAAAAAGAACTTATTAGCAACTGCTACAATTTTGTTTAAGCTGTTAACAAGTAAATTAGGCAGCTACATTTTAGTTAATTTAAAAAAAAAACAAAACAAAAAAAGTCTTCAGCAATTATGTTTTAACACCATAGTTTAAAAAATTGGCTTTCAATGACCATTCATTTCAAAAGTAAAACTAGATATTTAAAACTTAATCATAAAGTCTTAGTTTTGATCTCCTTATCTTGAAAAATATAACTTGGTTTCATAAAAGGGAGAGAAATATTTATTTCTTAAATTCTGAAATCAGAATGTTATATAAATTGAGATAATGAGCATACATTTATTTGCCAAAGTCAAATTTCTTTGCCCCCCCCCCCCAATTTTTAAACTGCTGGTTCTAGTAATGCCTAACCCCTCTTTTTTTTAACTTAACTGCATTCAGTCTTGAGAGAATAATTCCAACACATTACAACTTACACCACCAACACCACTCTCAAGTATTTTATAGAACTTTCAACGCAATTTTCAAACCCACACAAATGGCAGAAAAATGTAGGTTATATTCCAAGAAGTACATAAATAATGAAGATGTCACTTAGAACAGATTGATATCCATATTGGTGAAAGCAAGCACAAAATTTTAAGTGTTCATCTTAGAAATCACAGTAAGGGAGTTATGAAATACATCCACCTGCTCAGTAAGCTGAATTTCAACAAGTCCAGATTGCAGTGATTAACTTGAAACTAGCTAAACACCTGACAATGTTATCAAGTTTATATTTTGTAAGGATCTGTGAATATTTGGTGTTCACACCAGAAACTTGCACAAGATAAGAGACTGTCATGTCAGTAATAAGATGAAGAGTGATACAATTCTGCATTCAAATATTGACTATGCAATTCAATGTCTCACTATAAATTTCAATAAAACTTTTGAAAGCTTGAAAAAAAAAAAAAAAAAAGAAGAAATTTATGTCTGAACAAGTTTGCATGTTCAAATCAAAATTTCAAAAAAACTTTTAAAAGCTTGAAAAAAAAAAAAAAAAAAGAAGAAATTTATGTCTGAACAAGTTTGCATGTTCAAATCATAATCACATTCTAATCACTCCACTAGAAATTCACATCCTTCAATTTTCTAAATAATTCCAAATTTATGAACATGAATATTTTCATGAAAATGAGTAACAATCATTTATTTAAACATTCCTTTCCTTGAGTTACCTTGCAGTTTACAACTGTGTTATGTTCAAAATTAATTCAATGTACAAGGATGAATCAACTGAACTTCCATGGATTTGAGATGGGCCAGTACGTGCCTCTTTAATATTTAGGCATTACTTTTAAAACTTGATTTATCCTTGAGAATCTCCTTTGATTTTATTTTTAGAAAAGTAGCAATGCATTGAGGCCAGTCACAGCTGATAACTTCAGAATAACACCACATAATTGAGTCTGCATCTATTCTTGAACACTCACTTTTTGTCCCTCTAACTTGTGTTAGTTCACTATTTCTGACTTAAGCTTGTTTCATTACTGGGACCATTTTCCTAGTCTACCGTCGATTCTCATTTAACATTATCCTCCGTGCATGGTTAAAAAAAAATTTCATATTTAAAATTGTTCTGTTCTTTGTGGAAAGGCTCCTCCAAGGAGACCAAATAAAATAAAAATGTGTCAAAAAATACCCTGTTTACTAATAGCATTGTTTTTTAAAATGTAATTTAACAACTACAAACAAAATGTCTTTTTTTTTTTCTTTCAGAAAGATCCAAAAATGCTTGAAAATCAATGAAATACTGTAAATAAACAAGTTTAACTCTAAGCACACTCTGATTGCATGGGCGCAAGTAATCTATTACTTTTGTAACAGAGGGAAAGAGTTTTAAATCCTCTGCCTTGCAGAGAAACATTCAGTAACTAGGTTCCTATCCTTATATAAAACAGATCAGGACAGCCTGTGAGCCAGTTAAAATTTGCTACATATAAATAATGTGGCATGTACGTATGAGCAATGTGTCACATCAAAATGGTAAATCCAAGCCTTAGCGGCAGTGCAATAAACAAGCTAATGTAGCAGTTGCATCAATGGCTGGCCACTGGACTTTGTTGAATGCAGACACCAACCATAGGTGACTCATCCCCTCTCTCTGAGGCACTGTGAGTTCTTTGGACACTTGCATTGTCATGACCAACTGGTGCAGCAGTACTTCCAATGGTAAAGGGATATCCAGCACTAACAGAAGGCTGCTGCCAAGTCTGTTGGGGAAAATTAGCAAACTGAGACGAGTATCCCAATGATGCTATACTCAGAGGTTGAGCACTTGTGCTGACAAGTTCTGCTGGCACACCAATTGCTGTGGGTAATCCAGACGAGGGTCCAACAAGCATTGTGGGGCTAGTGATCAGTGAATGTTGCTGTGGAACGTTTTGCTGCACCTGCGAGTGAAGGTGGTGATGGTGCTGACTGGGAACAGAAATGAGACTTTGAGCAGAACCACTGTGCAGAGCTGAAATATTGGACAGATCCACAGGAAGATTGGAAGACGAGAGGGACGATGAAGAAGACGAAAGTAGAACTTGCTGTGAATCAAAGTGTCCCAGTGCCCTGTGAATTGTAAGTGGAACTGCTGAAGTATCATACATGGTATTGCCAATGATCACAGTGGAAGAGGGGGATATGAGGCCTGCATGATGTAATGAGGAAGAGGAGGTAGAGGAGGAAGAGGGCTGTTGATTTCTACCCATGTATGGATGGGCACTTGGTTGAGTGAATATAACGCTTCCTAGAACAACTCCTGAGTTGGATGGCAGATTTATCTGCTGGGCTCCTCCTCCTGCCATATGACGAGCCAGCCCAGAATCTGTCCCACTCCAGCTGTGCACGTTGTTCACTGGATTGTGCTGTGGCTGATAGTGTGGGTGTTGATGGTGCTGAGCCTGTTGCTGGTGAGAACTGTGCCGACTGCTGCCTCCACCTTGTTGCATACTCGATCCATTACTCCTATGCTGATGAGCAGGAGGTGGTCTAGACTGACTGAGGGAAGATGACGATGGACTTTCACAGTCCATAGAGGAGAAGTGAGATGGGTTAAGTCCAAGTGAACTGCTATCTTCCTGAAGTAGAGACTGTTGATGGTGAGGTAGAGTCTGACTCCCAGCTGCATTGCTGCTAACACCACATCCACCAGCAGCTGCCCCAATTTGGGGATGTGACAGCATGAGACTGTGGTGCTGATGGGTGGGGTCAGACCGAGCCCGACCACATGACTGACCAGCAACTGGAGAAAATATAGAATTTTATTTTAGATTATTTTATTTATAAAGAAAATACACTTTGATATGCATTTTGCCACACTAAAATTAAAGCATTAGCTAAATTACTTATAGATAGTCAAAAAGTAATTATCAGTTGATACTTATTTAGCATAATAAAATCTCCTGAGAAATATATACTTTTTAAAATGTAAACAACATGACAGGTTAAATTTAAAGAATGGATTGAGAAATAGATCATGAAAAATTGTGTGTAACATTTTAAAAACATATCTTCTCAGTTTAAGGAGGATAGAGCAAACAATGCTAGACTACTGTTGAGCAAACCATGCTAGACTAGTAGTTGAGCAAACAATGCTTGACTAGTAGTTGAGCAAACAATGCTTGACTAGTAGTTGAGCAAACCATGCTATATCTAAGGATGCTTATTCCAAGAGAGCAAAATCTCACTATTGCCAATTTTTTTTTTTTTAAAAACTTATTTCATAAAATTGATAAAATGCAGAAAAGAAATCTGATGAAAGTTCAGAAGCAATAACATACATTTTTCAATGCTAAAAAATGTTGTATTAATTATACAAAATAATACAATTATATAATTGGGAAATGAATATAAGAGAAAAATATATGTAACTGTAAAAAAAAAAAAAAAATTAATATAAAAAATAAAAAAAAATAAAAATAAAAAAAAAAGCAGAAAAGAAATCTGATGAAAGTTAAGAAGAAATAACAAACATTTTTCAATGATAAAAAATGTTGTATTAATTATAAAAAATAATACAATTATAAAAATGGGAAATGAATATAAGAGAAAAATATATGTAACTGTAAAAAAAAAAAAAAAATTAAGCTGAAGAATAAAAAGAAATAAAAATGAATAGGTTTGTTTGGTGTAAGAGATATTGTATATGATTATCATGTATTCAATTATACATGTTTACGTAAGCTTTCCCTACAATAAAAATGACAGATAAAAATGTTTTTCATTGCAACTTTTTATATCAAAACTAGAACATTTTTTTAAAAAAATTACTGCCCTAGTTATATGATTTTAAATTAAAGTCGGCGAATGCTTGGTAGGAAGAAGTGTTCTCAGATTCAAATTAAACTTACAATTTCATTTGACACTGCACTTTTTTATGTACTCTACAAAAAAGAATTCAAATCAGAGAAATGGTTTCAAATTTATATCTTTTTAATGGGGGTGAATTGTGTTAAATTAACAATCTGGGAACACTGTCTTAAGTACCTACGTTTGACAGCTATTGGCCATGTCCCCCCTACTGAGCGCGGTGTCTAGAGAATGAGTCACTTTGTCTCGGGGGTTGAGGTGGGTGGAACAACGTATCTATAAATAGACAAAGATGGAGATGGCGTTATGGGCTGTGGGCTCATTGAGGAGCCAACATATATTTACAACATTTAACGCTATCAACTTTTTAGCTTCTTAAACCTTAAATAATACTGTCTAATGGTAGTATAAATTTGAACACCCAGTTTATGAACAATGACCAATAGCTACTCCATTAAAAATATAACTCTCAAAGTTAATCCTCTCAGTTTATGATTTTTAAAATTTGCTACTTGTTAAAACAATGAATATTTATAATTTTGAAAATTTATTTAACAAATTTCTTCCAATGAATAACCAGGGATTAGTACTGGTAGTGATTGTGTGAACATCAAAACAAAGAGAATTGTGAATATGCCTGTTCGAGAATAAATTAAGAAGTAGTTTGGCAATGTTATCATAAAGTTAATTTAATATGTTGATAATTGTTTGAGTAATTTATTTGCTATATTAAGACAGGTCGTTATTTAAGCACAATAAATAAGAGAATAGTCATTTTAAAATTGTATTGTCACCAACTTAAATGTTGTTTCTTTTTATCATTGCTTTGTTTACAAATTTTGCATGAAAGAAGTGTGATTATTGCTTTTAAATCCTCTAAATACATTTAAGTATGAGGAATAACATACCAACAATATCCAACTTAATCAACTCAACAGCGATCCTGCAACAATTTCAGGTCTATGAAACCATGCACATTTTTTTTTTTTAACACAAAGAAAAAGCACCTTATGATCAAATTGACAACAATTTGAGCATTTATATCAGGCGACATGAACCCCTCTTAATCAAAGTTTTACACAATATCGTCTTAATTTTAGCATTTTTTTGTATTTGAAATATATGAATATTTTATTATTGCTAATGAGGTATTAATTAAAACTTAAGAGATTTCTCCCTGATAGCTATTATTTTCAGAAGAACACAGGCTTAAGAATGCCAAGCAAAAAATTATCTACAAATTATTAAACATTTTTTCTTCTTCTTCAACTCAGACATTAAAAATCACCAGCACCAAATAATTCTTAATATAAAAGGGTTTCTAAACCATGTACATAATCATAATCTAAATAATCAAACTTAAAATTAAATATTTAAAATTAATTTAATTTTGAGTAAGTACTATTTCAGGACAACCTAATGAATAACCCACATGAAAATCCACACTTGTTAAAAAATTATGTCACCTTTACTTTGTAAATAAGAAAGGAATGACAGAATAAAATGAATGTAATTATCAGGTAGACACAGATCATAAAAAGAAACATTCTGAGACTTAAATGATAATACTTTAAAAGAAAAAAAAAAGAGATAAATGTTCACCTATTGTTTAGGGTAGTTCAAATCATTCTCCAGTAATTAAAATGCCTCACTTTCAGTAAGACTATTTTTTGCTCTCAGTTATAAAAATTTATCTAATAACACTATGCAGTAATGTCAATATTTTTTTACCATTATTTAAGATGAAAAAATGTAATCAATACAGAATACTCAACAAGAAATTTTAAACTTGTATGTAGAAAACTAACGAGAGCATACCATAGGAGTTACCAAGAAGTTTAACATTTCAGACAATTAAATAATGCTATATTCAGACAAATTTAAGGAAAATTTCTTGGTATAATGGATAATTTAAATTGTATTTGTTGCGCCAAAAGAGAGTAAAAAATGTTTTATCTTTTAAAATTCAATTAAAAAAAAAATTAATTGATTAAACCCTTACTTATTGATATTTACTATAGAGAGCTCTCTGTTAGAAGTTTTTAACCTTAAATATACCATGCACACATTTGACTGCTTTAGTAGTAGTATTTGTAGTAGTAACTATCTGCTAAGCAACAGCTACAAGGAGTAATGGAATTTGGCAAGTGGAATGTGTTCTGAAATGTTGCCCAGACACAGTAGTTATTTTTACATTTAAAATGCATGTTGATTTATCACATTTACTAATGTATTTATTTAAAGGTCATGAAGCTTACTCTCTCCTTTAAAAAAAAAAATATTAAAAAACCAATATCTTATTGGTTGTCATCAGTAATAAGAGCAAATCCATGAGACAGTGCTAGGTAACCAAATTTTGTAAAATGCATTGATTAAATATAAGTATACAAGCAAAATACAAGTACTTGGACTATAAACAAAGTTTCACCTCCAGCTCTTTCATAAAGAGCCAGAAGCAATTAACAGTTATATTATTAGTCCATTAAATTTTGCTACAGCTATACCATGGTAATCACTTTTAAACCAACATAAAAGAATTCTTGAGATGAGTAAAAATATAGCAGATCCTTAATCTTTATTTCAATAACATTACCATAATATCAGATTACACTGGAAAAATATTACAATAAAAATAATGCACTCTATTGTTTAATAAATATAATTTTGGAAAATAAAAAAAATATTATATAAAGAAAAGGTAAATATGTGATCATATTGAAAAAGTTAGAAAAAACAGCCTGCCTTACCTGTGGGACTGCCTGCATTTGTCTCCATAGCAGGACTAGTTGAGGTGCTATTGCTGGTATTTGTACTTTCATCTGACGTCTTCTTAAAAAAGTTATGTTGCAGGGCGTAATATGGTGTGATTCGACCTTTGGGATCATAGTCCAACATGCGAAGTATTAGGTCCTTGAATTTGAGGTAGTCTGCTACACTATGACCCACTTCTCCTGCTCGTCTACCACCAGGCCCTCCTGTATCTGCTCCTAATATTTCATGAAGCTTTCTCGATTGTGGGCTTTTATACTGTAAAATAATATTTAAATTTTTAATTTTTATAGGAGATAAAAAAAAAGAAAGTATCTATTACAATATTTAATATTTTTAAGAATGCCAAACAAATAAGCAAAATTAAAGAGAGAGCATGACTCAAAGAAACAAAACATACTTTTTTGTTATCTTTTGACTTTCGGGGGACATAAGAACCATCCGGCAATTGTTCAAAATACTTCCTTGTCTTTTGAGCCTGGTCCAATAAATGTTTAGGTGGAATGCCCAGCACTTCAACAATTTTCATCATCTGGTCAAACTATATTTAAACAAAAATAGTCAATACTAATTAATTGACAGTTTTAAAAAAGTCTTTGGAAATATATAAAAGATGATTAAATTACAGAGCGCTATATTATTTTATTGGACTAAAAAAATTATTTTGATTATGCTTAATGTAGAATTAATTTTTGACAGTTCAGATATAAAAATTAAATTGAAAATATATCCACAAAAATGAAGATTTTAAACTTTTACTGTCACTAATAAATAAAAGCTTACATTTTTTAGCTAAAGAAAACAAAATTAATAAAATTCAAATTATGCACCTCATTTGATCCAGCAAAAAGGGGTTCTCCAGTATGCATTTCAACTAAAATACAACCTAAGCTCCACATATCTATTGCAAGATCATATGGTATTCCCAATAAAACTTCTGGTGATCGGTAAAACCTTGATTGAATGTACTGATAAATCTGTGAAGAGATATTAAGTACTAAACATTAATATACTGCATACATATATTTTGTGAGGGTGGAGGTTGTATTTCTGGGACCATTTTCATTTCATTTTTTAAGAATGCATTGTTCAATAATTATTAATGAAACTAAACGTTTTTAATGTGGTTAATTTTGTAAGGTAACTGTTTTTGATATAAAACATCTTTGGAAAAATTCACATAACACTTTTTAAATTTGTGAGCAAAACAGAAAACCAAAACAAATTCATATCAAGCTTATAAAGACACAAATCTGCAGTACACAATTTTTTCCCCACCTTCCTTAAATGCTTATGAAAACATACTATGATCTCACACTTCCATGAAGAAAAATAAAAAAAATAAGTTCAACAAGATGATTATTGTTACATTATTTATCTTTCTCTCATGTAATTGTATGTATCAATTAATACTTACACGTTGCCCAATTTGACATGAGCTCCCAAAATCCACTATTTTTATCGCACTACGTTTTGGATTGCACAAAAGAATATTTTCAGGTTTAAGATCACAGTGAATAATGTTAAGTTCTGGAGTGGCCAGAAATAGAAGTGCTGTACACAACTGCTGTGCAAATTTCCGAGTCAAATTGAGGGATACACCCCTGAAATTTGTGTTTCTCAGCAAGTCATACAAGTTGTAGGACAGCAGTTCAAACACAAGGCACAGATGGTTGCGGAACATGAAGTTTCGCTTCAGGCGGACTGTAAATAAAAAAAAATTAATTCAATAAAAAAAATCTGCACAGTACTTATGTTTGTTAAGTTTTAAAAGATTTACTCACTTCAAAACATTCAATATCTGTTCAGTACTACCCAAGGATAAAATATTTTTTAAAGTGTTCATGATATAATAATAAAATATTAAATGCTTTAATTAAAATTTCCAAATATTTATGTGAAAATTTGAAAGCATGTAGAATAAACAATATTAGAATATAATCCAGATAAAACAAATCAACATCTAAGGTCTATAAATTGTTATTTTTTTTTTTATACTTAGCGGTCTTTCGAAAATTACATCATGCAAAATCAAAAATTGCATTTTTCAGTCAGGACTCCCCCCCCCCCCCCCCACCCCCCCCCGTCACACCTAAAAAAAATTCAAAACACACATAAAATTTTCATAAATGAACTAAAATTTTATTTTATTCTTTCACACTTTCCCATAATGGATTAAAAAATAGTATTATTAGAAAACTGTGACGTAAAACAATGAAGTCCTCCCCATGTAAAATGGCCACAACAGTTTTTGTGTCATTTTTTTTTATATGTCCAGAAGTGGTATTTATAATATTCGAGGCAATTCCAAAATTAAATTATTGTTTAAAAATAACTGAATAAAGATTTTTCAAAATTAGAACATTTTAGATTAAAAAAAGTGTGACATCACAATTTTTGGCCCCCCCCACCCCCCAAGCATGACATAATTTGCGAACAACCCCTTAGTTATACATCAAAGCACAATATTTTCACAACAAAAAAGAATTGGAATCTACACGAATTCGTTTAATACCTATATAGTACTTGTTCTCCCTGTCATTAGAATTCATCAATTCCAAAAGTTTAACTTCAATTTGTGCCTGATTTAAAAATGGCTTCTTGTTTTTAATTATTTTAATGGCAACATGCTCTTGGTCCACATGGTCAAAAGCTTTCACGACCTTTAAATAAATAGATAAGAAAAAACAACACTCCATTAAAATGGCCATATATTTTGCTACAGATGCAAATAAAATGTATAGCTTAAATAATGGAACCATAATATGAAAAACTTACCCACAGACACATTACAATTTGTCTCTTACACCCCCACACCCCACTGTTTCTCAATTTTATGAATTTTATAATGGATGGGAGAAAGGCATTTTAGCCAAATGGGCATAACAATTAAATGTAAAAGTTAAAGATAAGTATATCACAAATTTTAACATGCCTAATAACCACTGAAATAGATTGCAGCAAGTGCTTTAAGATTATTTTAACCTTGAGACACTTCTTTACATAAAAATTGGGAAAGTAAAAAAAAAAAATCCTTGTAAAGGCTTTTAAAGATAAAATAACATGATAATTAAATGCTGGAATCTTCATTTTATCCAACTGTCTATTAACTGATAGTTGTCCAAAATATAGTAACTAACAGCATAAAATTTTCACAATTCAGCTATTGAAAATCATTAAAGGTGAGTCATTTACAGCACACCATGGTAAATCCTACCTGCCCAAACGACCCCTTTCCTATAAGTGAGTCTATTTCATATCTGTCCATCCATTTCTCCCCAGGATTGACAATATAGTCATGGTTTGAGTCATCATAACCATCGTTGTATATGTGAGCATTAACTTTCCCCTTTTTGTTGCCAGTCTCATCTCCTTGAGCTGCACCTACAGCCCGTCTTTTCTTTTTGGCATAATAAACCTAAAAGATAATCACTCTTGTTAGAAAAATCAAGATAAATATTCATAAATCTATTGCAATGGGCTTATTACAAATCTAATTATCTCCATCACCATTACAAATTAAAAGAATACCAGCACTGAAATCTAAAAACATAAAAGATTAAGTAAAACGTTATACTTCGTTGATGTGTTTATAAGTTTTGATCAAGTCCACGCTAAGCTTCCTAAGAGGGGCTGTTGACGAATCTCTGAATGTAATAGGGATTTTGGTTTGCATGGCTATCACATCTACAGTCTGCTGCTGTTGACTATGATGGTGGTGGTGGTGATGATGGTGCGGCTGGTGGGGGTCCGACATCTCTGAGCCGCCCCCTTGGGCACCTTCAACTACCAAGCACTGCGGGGTGGTAGATTGAACAGCATGGCTAAAGTGGTCAAGCAGACCTATTGAAGAAAGAACAAATGAGAAAACATTTTGACATAACTCTATTATTTCCAACTGGACTACCAAAGATAAATATAATAAATAGATAACAAAAATAATTGAGTTTTATGACAAAAACATCTCTGTAGAGTCAATGTCTTAATATTATATCACAATATATAAATGTTCATAAATATATAAATCAAAGATGTAGATAAATGTATGCTTAAATAAGAGTGTACTGTGGTTCTTTATTGAATAATGAATATCGTACAAATCAACCAGCAATTACACTCTTGATGCAATCATGCAAAATCCTGGATGTTAACTGGATAAAAGTTTAAAGAATAAAAGAGATCATGCTGAGTTAATGAAATGGGCTTAAAATGAGGTAATAAGTTATGAAATTGTCCCCCTTATGAACTTTCAGAATCTATTCGACCTTTCAAAGAGATATCCTAACAAATTGGATGTTAAACTTGAAACACTAAATAAAAATGGTACATAGTAAACCTACTTACATCTTTGAAATAACTTTAATTAAGCTAAGTGGGCTCAATAAATTAACGCAAGTTTTAAAGTAGTTTAAGAATAGTGAGTTTATAGAATTATACTTTATTTTAACACAATAATCACTTTTATATCAAAACTATTACCCTAAAGCTTATAATAAAAAAAAAACACATCTTAAAAGTTAACTAGAGAAACCTATGGCCTAAAGCATTACTAGTAATTGAAAGTACAAAAAGTAGCGAGACAGCAAATGAATAGTTAAGAAACCTAACAATAACACAGTTAATAACAGTACACCACTCAGTCCAATGTTGCCACAGTTTGGGATTGTTAGCATAAAGATGTCAAGATGGTAGCCTTTTATTAAAATTTAGTTTATTAAAAGGAGACTGCCATAATATAGTTATAGCCTATGCATATAAAATATTAATCAGCAATTAATATTAGGCTAAGTAATACTTAGATTTTAACTACTTTAAATTTAAATTCATTTGAGTGTAAGTACTTGATGTAATATTTCTCTTTATTTTATATATGATATAATATAGTATAGGCTATAGGGTTTAAGTTTAGTCTTATTCAATTGAAATTAAGTTATTAAAAAATCACACATAACCTACTTAGCTTACTAGTAATAGGACTACCCAGTCCTGATTACTGACAGTAATGAGTAATATACTAATTCGTATTCGTAGTGTTGATATGCCATGATAATATCAATGAAATACTAGTACTAGCTTTGCTTTAGCTCATTCTCATACTTGATACATGCAGGTCTAGGCCTAATTCAATTTACTTCATTAAAAAAAATAGGACTAGAAGTAGGACTATGTCGTCTATGGCCTGCCTAAAGTGGCTAAAGCCTAGGCCTAAGTGAAGCAAATGAAAATATTTTTAATTTTAAGAATTTAAAAAAATCTATTATTTTTTGGACTTACTCAGCCTAGTAACTTAGTGTTACTGTTACAACTAACAATAATAATCAATTTATTGTCACTAATGCGCTCCCGCTATCTTCGAACAATCTTGAGTTTTAACAACAATTATGGTTATTAACTATGCCTTTTACGGCTTACCAAAATTACAGTTACACAACCTTACACAAAACAGCACTGGTACCCCTTCTCCTCTAACTCGAATGATTATTTGAATATGTAAATGCAGGCGAAGGCTACGTAGCAATTTTAGTATAGCTAGTCAGACTTCAAAGAATGTTTTAATCACGTTTGTTTATCATAGTTAGTTATGTACCTAATCAACGAAGATAACATAGACGTTAGATTATAACAAGATGGGGCACGAGTACACTTTGTTGTGTTTACGTTTTCTTACACAGAACATGACACAGCACATAAGAATCGTCGGTAAGCCGAAACGTCAAACACAGGGGGTTTTCCAGTTAATTAGGTCAACCCACTTAACGCATGCGCACCAGTATAGTGGCTACCGGTGATTCACTTACATTTTAAGTTCAAATAGTATTTAGCACTTTTTATAGAACTAATGTGCTTCAAGAAAATAAATTGGAAATTTAATACAAAATAAGGTTAAAAATTATGATAATGACTCTGTCAGATTGATATTTTGTTGAAGGGAATTTGAAGAAAAAAAGACAGTTTGAAACGGAGTATCTCGGAGTATGACGTACCTGAAATGGCTGAATTATCCAACCGGAATCCGCCTACCAAAGCAGGCATTCCATGGGGGAAAATCGCAAAGCTAGCATTCAAAATATTATTAGGTACTTTTCATATACACATGATACATCCCAAAATGTTAAACTCTTTTCAGTGAAATATTTACAACACAAATAAAAAGATAAAGGAATTAAATAAAACAAATCTCCTAGTCCATTGAATACACGTGAGATCCAGGTGGCAATGTTTATGTCACATGACTATCATGATTCAGCTTGCAACGCCCTTGACACTTCATGTTAACAGCCAATCAGCGGCCGTAACTCCGGGTCACGAAGGTTGTTGCTGGGGCGAGTTGCTAAAAATACAATAGGCGGAAGCAGAAGGAGCCTGCGGAACGGTCGCAACACGCGAGCCAGACAGACCAAAGAAAATTATGTAATGTGTTTAGTCGAAGCAAAGTCAATAGCAATCGGTCATGGTATATAGATACCGTTGTCCACTAACAGATAAAAGACTGCTAGCAATTTTGTATGTGCGCATCTTGGGGTATCCTGCGTAACAAGAAAACATCGATCGTTCTCAATCTGCGCCGTGCCCTAGTTTCTACTCGCTTTTCGACCCCGTCGTCAGCAGTCTGCAAGGATGAGAGAGGCAAAGGCTTCTTTGCCATAACTTGGAATGTCAGATGCGCGTTTTTTTTTTTTATCTCCCCTCCCTCCCTCTATTTTCCACGTCCTAAAGCCTAAAGAAAATAAAAAAAAAAACTTTTACTTCCCATCCAACTGTAATGTAACAAAAAGGCAAAGGCTTCTTTGCCATAACTTGGAATGTCAGATGCGCGTTTTTTTTTTTTATCTCCCCTCCCTCCCTCTATTTTCCACGTCCTAAAGCCTAAAGAAAATAAAAAAAAAAGCTTTTACTGCCCATCCAACTGTAATGTAACAAAACCTTACTAATTCTGCTTTATATTTATAATATATACACACACACAATATATAATATATTAATGCAACTCACCTAAGAATTAAATTAAAAAAGTTTTTCAAGAAATAACAACTGCAAAACATAAATAAAATTATTTTACTTGACAAAACAGTACATTTAGAAAAGTAAAATGTAACTTTCTTAATTCGGTGTATGTCAATAATTGAATGCATTCATCTATCATCTATTAAAAATAAGAGCATTATTTAGGATAATAATTACCGGTACTAAATTCAAACTACACAAACTTCTATTTTTTAAAATTATTCTACTTGTACTTGTACAAAATTTGACCTAGTAAAGCATGATCAGACTTATTAGATATTAGTCAAAGCTAATTTGACCGTTATAAGCACTATTCTTGAGAGTAAATGCAACTTCTTTTTTTTTTTTGGCTGGGGATTATCCATATAAAAGAGAAAGAAACCGCAATATAAATGTAGTATTGCGATTATTGCATGTACATGATATGGCCTGCTTAATGCTAAATAATTTGTGAATGATTTGTGACAATCAAGACGGGGGGTAGGGGGTATGCTTCAAAGAGGTCATGACCCGGCTTTTTTATTTGGTCATATCCCGGAACACATTTAAAAATAATCACAACGTCATGACAAAAAACGATAAACACGCAATCGACCTCAACTGCCTGAGCAGTGAACACAGATCTATAAATAGCCAATTCGCCCAGCAACAGAACAATGGGTGCTCACGTTACAGAGTCATGGCACGACGCGGTGGTGGGAAGAATTTGATAAGAGTCGGGAGAATACGAATATTATAATTACAGAAAATATTCTGAATATTACAGTAATAACTTATAAAACGTACATATTTAAACTTCATTGAATTCATTAATAATTTAATCCAAATGATGACATTAAGGAGGGTGGAGCCCTGGAACTTTGAATGCCCGACAAAACAGAAGATTAACATTCGGACTCACACTATAAATAAATTTAAGTGAATGCATTGAAAAAAGTTACCAACAGTAGATTACAATGAAACCCGCTTAGAGCATACATTCTCAAACACTAATTGTGAGTGAGTCCTCTGTGACCCACCAACGACCGCATAGGCTGCCCGGTGTGTGACCTGATTCCAGCCTGCTTAGTTCACACTGCTGGAATTCGGGTCAACTTTTGACACCACACTTGAATTGTCAGTGGGGTTGGGATGGGGAAAGATATTTATAAAACTGAAAAACTGGTAGAGTCATCAGTTTATAACACCGTGTAATTTTATTAAAATACTGTTGTCCATAATATATCAAGGGGAGGGTTAGGAAAGACATGCAAACGATAACGCCAATTTCGATCGGTAGCAAGAATTTTATGGACGGAAATATCAGTATACTGTCATTTTAAAAATAAAACAAATTCGCATTTTCCATCTCTTGTATTCATTTGTCAATGTTTGCAGTTTAATTTTTTTTTTTTTTTAATTCCAAAGAACTTAATTTGTCTTAAAACATCAGGCTTTTTTTCATTTAAACTGTTAAATCCCAAAATTATAATTGAAAAAAGCTCAGATTCAATGTCTTATATTATTCTAAATAGCAAGTTAGAAAAACAAAACCAACAAAATTTATTTAACATTAAGTATTTGGAAAACATTTAGACGTCCCAATTTCATTATTAAAAATGTAATAAAAGCTTATAAAATAAAGCATGTTTTTTGTTTAAAGATTTCATTTAGATCTGCGTTGACAACCTTTAAAATTGTAATGTCTCTCTGTAATGTATATGTTTATTAAGGTGGCAAATCTGATGTGCCCACATTGTGCTCACATTGCAACCGAGTAACCGAGCGCATGAAATCTTCATTGTTTACCATAACAACGGCCTTGAACTTTTACAATTAGTGTTTTAGTGACAGTCACACAGAGTTATGGTTGCAAATGATGACAAATAGTTTTTAAAAATCCAAATTCTGTTTTCTTTTTCTATATGGTGACGCCCCCCTGTCATTTATTAAAAATAAATCTTTGCTCCCTCAAAACACTCTCTAAGTTAACTAAAAAAAAACACAAAAAAACCCACCCTAAAACAAATTTGATACTAATATTACACCTTTCGATTTGAATAGAGTTTAATTCTCAATCCGATAAGCAAGAATTTTAACAAATAATGTTTTTGTTTCTTGTGTGGGAGGTGTCGTTTGACTGATTTATTTTAAAAGTTTACAACTTACAAAAATTACATATAATGCAGATTAGTTTACCGTGGTCAGAACTCACATGTTAATGGTGTGCCACCTAATTCCCTCTACCAAATAAACAACTTGACGCAAGAGCTGCCACAAGGGTGACGTCATGAGGAATGACCCTTATTTTAATATTTCATTCCTGTATCAACATTTAATTTTAATCTATTCTTATCGGCTTGTCTTCCTGGCAATATCAATATTATATAAAAAGGTTTATGGTGTTCTAAATGTAACAAATTACATAATGGTAAAAAAAAAAAGTGACGTCAAATTTTTATTCCCCC